TTTAGAGAATAAATGAAAATAAAAAAAATCCCACTTGCGCTTTCTCAATAATATTTTTACAGTGTGTTGTACTACTTTTGGGACAAATTATATCAAAATGATAGAAAACTTCATCGGCTCTAACTCAAAATATGGACAATTTCATGTTAAGGGGGTCTTCAAATCTTTTGACAGCTTCCGAAGTGCTAATTTTTAACATTTTTCAGCTGGACCAAATCACTACTTTACTTTAAAATTCATGACCCAAATTTTTTTACAGTGTCATTTCACCCCCCTACTTACTATTTGAGTCATAAAACATGGAGAAATAAATTTGGAAGGGGTATAAAAAAAATCGACAAGTAACACACTGTCCACACTAGGGACTATATTCGTGGACAACGAAAATCAAAGGACGATAACTGTGTACCCGGACCACCAGTACGGTATATATTGTTTTTTAACGTTTAAATGACCAGAGATGTCCAGCATTTGAAGTAAAAGGGGGACACTACAACACCAATGACTCGTCTGTAGCTGAATGCACCGACTAGCTTGCTTGCTAAATGCTCGCATATTGATATCAATCAATAAAGAAATATATAGTTTCTATAACAAATTACGTGCCAGCAATTCGAAAAAAATCAAAACATCTTAATAAAGCCTGTGTCAGATGTATAATGTTTGATGAAATTCTGTATGTGTCTATTATTAGGACAGTCTTTGTTAACGAACTATTTTTATTTCCCTACATTCAAACACATACTATGTATTATCATTTATGTATTTATATGAATGAAAGTGCGCCCCCTTACCGGATTTTACACCATCGGGAAAGGGACTAGTTGGGAAAATAATCATATTTGTACGTCTTATTTACGTTTTCCGTGTTTTCTAAACTCTAAACCGAGATTGTAAACCGGTATCAATTATTGCAAATAAAATATCAAAGACGGAGTGTCTATCCCCCAAGCACAAAATTGCTATATAATAGCTCATGGCGGATCAGAAATGAGAATACAAAGTAAACAAATTGAATTAAAAAAAAAAAAAATATTTTGAGTATGATGATTGGCTCGCACAATCATTTTCCATAATAGTGAATCGTGAAATTTGTGTCAAAATGGTAATTTTGGCAATCAATTTAGAAAGATTATATCAGAATGAACATGTGTACTTAGATTCAAGTTGATCAGACTATAACGTCAATCTAATGCAGTATGAATGGACGGACGGACGGACGGACAAATAAACGGACGAACGGACAAACGAACCAACACACAGACCAGCTAATATTGTGCGCTTTCCTGTCGTAGGCGGAGCATAAAATAGATATTTAATGTGAATTGACTTAAACTTGTTTCTTTGTACAATGTATAAGTTTTCAAATAAACGAAATAAAAAAGATACTATGTGCGATAGAATTACTATATACTAGCTTTCCATACACTCGGCATCCTCAAATATCCTGTATTTTCTAGAATAGGAACTTTTAATGTCTATTTCCTATACCAAAAATGAAAAAAATACAGAAGAACAACATGTAGGAGGGCATTTAATGCCAACGAAAAGTACTTTCAATTGAAATTATACGTACACTATTTTGTACGGCATGCATCCTTATTCAAAAGAAATGTATCGACAAGAAAAAAAGACTTTTGATTTAAACAAAAATACGTACACTTTCAACATCAACTTTTAACTCCTACAATTCCCAGAAGGTTCTTACCCCCCAACAAATTATTTCAGTGGGCCTTGCTCTGATTTATAACCTTTCGTTTGATCTATGTCCGGTGGCAAACTTTGTCGTACGGAGCTGATGAGGCTTGCCGAAAGAATATACGGTGGACACGTAAAAAAGAAATTACCATCAACTTTGAACTCTTAGAATTCCCAGAAGGTTCTAACCCCCCAAAAAATTATTTCAGTGGACCTTGTTCTGATTTATTATCTTTCATTTGAGCTATGTCCGGTGTGGTTTTCCCATATACCACATTATGATTATTTGAGAAGTTGATTCTCATTGTGTTCTTTAGTGGTCGCTAGAATTGGTCGCTAGCTTGATTGGTCGATAGCTTGATTTGTCGCTAGAATTGGTCGCTAGCTAGAATTGGTCACTAGAAATGGTCGCTTGCTTGAGTCTGGTCAAATTTTATTGGGCGATAAAATGCGGCGGTTGTGTAATCAAAAAACTTAAGTCAATAAAAAGCCATGATCATAAAGGAAGACTACGAAAAGACAATCAACAATAGCAAAACACTAAACAGAATACATGTAGATTGAGCAGCACAAGTTTCACCAAAATCTGGCGGGTAAGGACGAGTAACAGAGCTGTTCCACTTCTACCGATCGTCGTATTACCCATTGCGAATTAAAATACGGTTATAAGTCACAATCGGTAATCAAAGAAAAACAAATAAAAACAAAAGTCAAGACAAACATGTTTTGTTATGTTGTACTCATACGGCTTCGAGTAAGGAATTTTTATGCACAATACATTTGTTTTACTATTTTCTTTACATTTTGACATCTGTTGTAAACTGCATGACCACTGGGCATGACCTATGTAAGCATCTTGAATTTTAAAATTTCCGAGTAGAAGCTTTAGCGATGAATATTTTTGATAGGGGACTTATACGTTTACAGTATTGAATCACACACAGATGTGCTTGTTTTGATTTGGTAAGTCTGGCGTAAATACCAAGAATCATAAAAACATTTGTTTACCAGTTCCTCCGCAGTAACTCACTGCAGACGCCAACAAGCTGTTGCTCCTAAGCGGTCACTTTATTTAACGTGAGAAACTTTTATTTGTAAGCAATACTGAATAAACATAACCATAATCTTTGAAATAATAACTACTATAAACACCACAAAATGATACTCAACATCAACTTTTGGTTAACTCATCGGATCGACAGAAAACTGTTATTATCTACTGCATACCAGTCTATTTCCCCTAGTTATTTTTACTGTTGGCGTCGGCTGTCCTGATGGATTTGCCCAGTTATTAGTTCTTTTTTATTTATCTTTGCAGGAAAAATGCTCCCGAACTCAAGCATTTAGAAGAATTGTTGATATCAAAGGGATACAATTGTTCTAATCAATATTTGTCTTTTAAACATCTATACGTACATGTATTATATATACTACTCTAAGGAAACTTACAGCAGAATAATTATTATAAAGATTGCATTTAAACGGGATTTTCTGACAAAGAAAAGAAATTATTGGCTCACGTTGGCGGAGGCCCTCAAATATGAAAAAAAACTCTCTCCTAAATAACAACAACTTCGTCGGAATAGTAATATCGGAGCGAAATCAGAGAAAGGGCTAAAAATCTCCGCATTCGGCTGTGATTACCAGACACCATCAACTACATCAAGAATATTTCCATAGGTAAGGTTTTTAGTTTTTAGATTTTGCCATCATTCTTCGAATTGTACTTTTTTTCTTTTTATCAAGCTGGATTTTGTTTATCGATTTGAATCGACACCTAACATGATGAAAACGTATGCATGGATATGCCATTTGGCACTCACGATAAACAGCCATGTTGCATTTGTCCCTCCGGTTGAGTCGCCATATAAATAGACGCGACAAATAGTTTGAATAATTATATTGTTTTTCGTGTCAAGTAAAAAATACTCAGAATATATGAAAATTCTGGACAAAATATCTGGCCGGTTGCAGACTGGATATAAAACCTACCTAGACTTGTTTTTCATACATGACTAATAAAAATTACTAGAATGAACAAGATGTGCACAACTGGAAGTCAAATTATGACCTTCAACATCGAACCAAAAACCATAACGAATATAAGCTATAAAAATGAAAACGATTAAAAATGAAGACCTTCGGCCTGATTTAAATTACAAATATGAACAAAAAACAAATATGACAGATAGCCACCAGCGACAACCACTGGTTTTAAGCACTCGTGACAGGGCTTAACATGTTTGTTTGCGCTCTCCCCCTCCCAACATACATTTCGCAAAACTTAAGTTCACATTTTGGTTTAGCAGAATTTTAAAACTGTGCAGTCAATCTTGTGCTCACAACAGTTATTGTCATAAATATGTAAACATCATACATTAAAAAGTCATGTGGAAGATAGTAGTATTTTACAGTTCAATTTATTTATAATAAAGGGATGGAAATTGCATGGAGTTAAACATAGGAGAAGAAAAAAATTAAAGTATTTTTTGGCGAAAGACTTTAAACCTTCTTTGCATGAAATTCTAAAAGTTTTCTTGTTGCAGTAAGTGATAAAATCCGATATAAACCAAAAATTGGAGTTCTACAACTCGAATATATTTTAACAAACAGTGGTCATGTTTGTTGATGAATATTGTTATCATAGATTCACTCAGGAAAATTCATCGATCAATAACATTTAACAAAAGTTTAATAATGCGTAAAATACCTTAACAGAAAAGATCTTGCCCCCTCTCAAAAATCAAATTAAAACAATATAAACTCAACTTTGCTCATGTGAAATATCCACCAAATATATGCTAGGTATATTTTCTATCAATTACACTATTTTTTGCATCAATGATCTTGAGTATTTGCCACTTTTAAGTAAAATATAAAGGCACAGAACCAGGACATAAGTGCACAGAACCAGGACCGTTTTTCTAATCACCAGCATGGATCGGGGCAATTTCGTTTGGCGAATTTGCACGAATTTTGCAATAAAAAAATCGTTGTTATATACCGCAAATGGTACTTAGGACGTATCAGAGTAAAATTAAGCAACAGAACGGTTGTTTTATTGCCGTTTTGGTACAATGTAAATAAACCCACCAGCACAGAATCAGGACCCACCAGCACCAGTCAGGACCGAATCACCAGCACAGAACGTTCTCTCGCAGGAAAACATTACCCACCGTGCAATCATTCCACACCTTCTTATTTTTATTTAAGAAACGTTTTAAGGAATTTTCACATCAAAAAAATAAAACACAAAAAAAAAATATTAACAAAGGGGGATCCATTCAATAACGACTAATAAACTATAAGAATCGTTTTCTCTGTAAAAGGTTATAAGCCAATATTTCCGATGTCAACTATTATCTGTAGGGGTCACAACAAACAATTCCTTAACCTTTTACATACCCATTCTTTGAATATAGCCTTCTTTTTATGAATTCTTTTTGATACCAATTTTTTTATTAATCATTTACGAAAACATTTTGAACATTAAATAGCGAACAACAAACCGGTCGCTAATTTTACATACATGTAGATCTCGTGTTGCTTTGTCTTTCGTGAAGCCCACTTGACTGGAGCGCGAAACCCCATCTCATCTCTATATTAGATTCTATCAAAAAAAATTATCAAGTTACGTCTAGATACGATTAAACTTGGAGGAAGCATTGCTATAACAAGGTCGGTACTTGGCAGGACCACAAATCATAAGTTGAACATTTTGAAAGGGGAATTAGTCTTAAAATTCACCGAAGGGGAACATCCTACCCAATGCAAATCTACATATTGGTAAATAGCATGTTCTCCATATAAATTTCAGTTAGATACAAAAAGGGATGATAGGGATATGGCGATGACATGCCAGTTTTGAAAAGGATAAAAATTTCTTAAGCCAAAGAGTCATAAATCAAGATAAACTGAACAGAATATGAAAACCCTTATATCGGCATGTTGGCATATCTTCATCAATTATTCTACAAAGTTTCATGCGAATCAAAGAACAGATAAAGAAGTTGGTCCTGTCATGGACATACAGGTTGCTTCTTGTATCTATACTACTAAAATAACGAGATCCAATTTGTAAACCCGCCATATTATATATGTGTCTGATCCAAATCAGTAGCCTGTTGTTCAGTGGATGTCGTTGGTTCATTGTCTGTCATAAACATTATCTATTTTTCGTAAATTGTTTGGTTATAAATTAGGCCGTTAGTTTTCTGAATTAAATTGTTTCATATTTTTCATGTCGTAGTCTTATACCCGACCATACGATATGGGTTTTTTTTTTAAAAACATGTGTATTACCCGTTCCACTGCAGACGCCAATAAGCTGCTGATTCTAATCAGTAACTTAATTCAATGTGAGAAAATTTTATTGGTAAATAAAAACGATTAAACAAAAACCATACCTTTTGCAAAATAATAATAGTAGTATCAAAGAACACATTTTACTACAATAAAAAGACTAAAATCAAATTTATAACAAATAAAAAAAAACACACTCTCATTTATAACATCGTTGCAGCTTAACTTGTAAAATAAATAAAAATAGTATTTGAGATGATGATCAGTGAGTCCCTAACCTAACATTACAAAAGGCAACTAAACAGCGGTCATCTGCCAATGTTCAACATACTTTAAGTTATTTGTTATCAAAATACTGAAAAAGTAACAAAATAAAATAGCACTAAGATTGTTTATATAAAAAGGAATAGTACATGTTTTTTGGTTTAATAATTGACGTGTGTGCTAGTGTTGTTTTGCTACATTTGTTTTTTCTAGAAAAAAATGTAACTGCCCATTTGAGTATGCAATTTTCAAACATTGCTGTCAGTGTTAACTGCCTCGTTACAACTTAATTCCGACGAATCATTCGTTAACACGGGACAAATTTGGTTTGTCTTTGGTTCCGCAGTTGAAGACCGTTTTTCTACCTCTTTCGCATTTTTCTTTTCTTTTTCTACCGCCAGTTTGACAATATGTCGAAATTTTTGTTTAAAAAATAGTTGCCATTTTGCTTTTACCTTCTCGTGTATTTCCTTATCCTTTAAATTACTCGGTTCTTTGTTCAAGATTTCCTTTAACTTATCTTTATTTTTTATAATCAGCTCTTTGAATTTTGTACACGGTTTTTCCTTTGCCTCCAGAACAGATCTATTCCCGTCCAAAACTTTTCTACACTTGTCTGATACAGCCGCCGGTTCATTCTTACTTCGCTGAATAGATTGTTTTATAATATTATTCATTATTTCAGCAATATGTTCATTTTCTGAACTACGTAAGTCCGTATTGGCAGTGATATGAACGAGAGTAGAAAATCTATGGTACAGCATACATAAGAACTGTATTAGAAGAAGAAATCCAAAGACAGCACTGAATAATATTGCTATGGGAACGATCGAAATATTTTCTCCGCCACAATCAAATCCAGCCGTTAATGAGCTTTTGAACGCATTGACCTGTGTTAATCCAAACATTACAGTTACAAGAACGGCATTCGAAAGATAGACAAATAGGCAAACGGTATTCCTTAATTCAACTAACTCATGTTCTAGTTTTTTCTCTCGTTCACTTTTGAACAGGTCCTTTTCATTATGTGGCTTTAAATATTTCTCTATCTTTTTTTCCCAAAATTTGGTTTCTCTTTCGCTGATATTGGGGACATTTTCATCGACGATAAAATCAGAGATATCTTCCAGGTTTGTCCTATCGTGCATTCCGTCATTTAAACTTGATTTTTTATTGGTGTCATCCATTTTTGTTGCTAAAAGAAATAGATGATAAACGATCTGATAATACAACGTCAAATTTTTAAAAGCAGTTTCATAGTTTTATTTTGAAACGCTTTTAAGTCGTCTTTGTTTTAGATTAACTAATTGCTAAAATCCTAGTCATTCGGACTCGTTCAATTTTCTCATTTGCCATCGTACCAGATTTGCTTATTTCAAATTAATTACTTTGATCAATCAATATACACTCAGGCTTTGATTTAGGTTTTCAAGGATGGAACAAACGGAATCGGTGGAATATCATACATGTATCTATACAAGCGCTACTTATACGTGAAATTAAAACAAAATAAATGCGGGGTATTTTGTTATATACACGTTAATTTAAAGGGGCACTTGCTGTCAAATTCATGTTCACCGATTTGACTCAAATTCTCATATTTGATTTATAACAATGTAAAACAGTTATCCAAACTATTAAAGTCTAAAATAAACAATTTACAGGGCATGGGCTCGATAATATGTAGCTTCGTTTCGTGTGCATATTAGTCTAGACGCCATCTAATTAACTATCGAGTTGACCTCCGATGTCCTCCGATCACCATAAAAGCAATGTAAACGTAAATATAGATATAAAAAGATTAAGCGAACTTGTGCAAATGGATTTTTCTAGGTCTGTTTAATTTCGTATTATAATAGATTAAAAATATATGTTTACATCGATTTTACCTGAATAAGAAAGTTTTTTTGTGGATCGAATCAGTCAATCAAATGATTTACCTTTGTTTCACTTTCAATGTTGACATTCTTTTTCTTTAAATAACTGTACACGAACAATTCATGCGTTATCTTTCGATAGCTAAGGGGTTAAATTGAAATTCACTTGAATACGGATTCAATGAGGTCGAATTATTCACTTGCAAGTGAATAATTCATCATCAAAGTTTCTTAGCTTATTTTGACAAAATTGAACCATACTGGCTCCTAAAAGCGAATAATTATTTCACTATTTCACTTTCATTAATGATTGAACAAAAAAAATTATATTTTAGATTTTTTATATATCTCGTAGCTAGTGCCCCTTTAAGATTACCATTTCTATTCAAAATTGTTTTTTTTCTAGTGAGTGTACAGTTTGATAAATATCGTATGATAATTCATTTAACGCAATTTAAAACATTCAAACGACTAAAAAGCAGAAGAGAAAAAATAATGAGTTGAAATCACATAACTATGTAATAAAATGCACAGCAATTTAATAAAAAAAATAATAGAAGCCATGCATTAAGTATTGTTTATATTGCATGTACATACTTTGTGGTTGTTCTTCAGTCGTACGTTCATCATTGGTGCTATCTTTCGAAGGGGATATCGCACAACTGTAAAATAAACAAGAATATGTCCATAGTACACGGATGCCCCACTCGCACTATCATTTTTCTATGTTCAGTGGACCGTGAAATTTGGGTCAAATCCCTAATGTTGGCATTAAAATTAGAAAAATCATATCATAAGGATCATGTCTTTCTATGTTGTGATGTTACACTATTGATTTTGGTAAGGGTTAAGGTTGGTTTCGAAGGGGATATCGCACAACTGTAAAATAAACAAGAATAGGTCCATAGTACACGGATGCCCCACTCGCACTATCATTTTTCTATGTTCAGTGGACCGTGAAATTTGGGTCAAATCTCTAATGTTGGCAGTCCTCGGGGATATCATCAGCTCAGTAGTCAGTACTTCGGTACTGACACGATTTATAACAATCCTTTCTAAAAATATTCGTCTATAAACTTATAAATTGTAAATAAACTAAGGTTTAAACTCCCTCAGTCAAAGTTGGCCTTATATGAATTTGGCTATTTTTTAGGTTCATTTTGGTCATATAGCTTTTCAATTGATACGGTTCTTATAAATCCTTGGCTTTCAATTATTTGGCATTGGTTGTTCCTGATGAATGTAAATCCAGAAAAGCGCTTCGGACGCATGAAATTTATTTAACGTGTTGTTTTCATAATTATGTGCATGTCATCAGTCAAGAGCCGGTAGTTCAGTGGTTGTCGTTGGTTAATGTGTGCCATATTTGTTTTTCGTAAAATGTTTTGTTATAAATTAGGCCGTTAGTTTTTTCGATTGAATTGTTTCATATTTTTCTACTTTTATAGCTGACCATATGGTATGGACTTTTCTCATTGTTGAAGACCGTACGGTTGCCTATAATTGCTTGCATCCAATTAAATTGAAATTTTTTGGATAGTTTGTCTTATTGGCAATCATACTACATCTACTTATTTTTATATTAATGTTAACCATATGGAAAGAAAGAAATGAAAGAATTGACACAGAAAAAATAAAAAAAAACAAATTCACTAACCAAACAATCTTTCCAAACGAACAAAGATATTCAGCGTCATTTTTCCCATTTATCTGCTCTGTGCTTGCTTTATCGTCTGGCTTCTTTTTCGTTTCGGTGTCTCGTGTCCCCCATGACGTGACATGAAGATTACCAATTGAAAACAGAAACATCAACATAGACATTGAAGGTATGGCCAAAAAATATAGCAACCCAGGAAGAATGCAGAGGATCTCCTACAACGATTTCATACAAAAAGCTATGCAGTAATTGGAAAACTATATAGTCGAATACAGAACAAACATGCGCAACAATGAACTAAAAATGAACTTGTTTTATTTATACTGAACGATAACAAGATTCAGTGTACAATAACATACTAAATGGTCATTTACAAAAGGGGAAAAGAAAAAAAAAACTGTTTGTTTACTTTTTTATTCGAGCGTCACAGATGAGTCTTTTTAAGACGATAACTGTTTATTTACTACTTGCTTACATCATCACTGAGGATTCTTTTGTAGACTGTACGCGCGTCTGGCGTTACAAAATTATAGCCCAGTATCTTTGGTGAGTTTTAAATAAAGTTTGAGCACCATTTGAACTCATTGTATCATTAACTTTAGTATACGTAGTCTATCATGAGGAGAATTTATATATTACTAATTAATTTTTTTGTATATCTTTTCTGGATTAAATTCTTTCATGTATCAGCTATGTTTTCGATAAAGTATAATAATCTTTGATTATTTCTATTAAAACATGTACATGCCACAATTGTAATAACCTATCTTTCAAAACAAGATATCTGGGAATTCATCCAGGCATTTACCTTTGGGTGAAGAATAGCTGATATGACAAACACTCCAGCCACAAACATTATAAAAATGGTTGTCGTTGAGCACAAACCCTCAAGTATGGCGTCTCGTACTACTCCGATCATAACAACAACCATTACAATCACGTATATGCAAGATAATACGGCGGCCATTTGCAACTGAAAAAAATTCAGGTAGTAAATAAATAGAAGTAAGGTTAATCTCGTAAATCCGTGAAAAACACCAAGTATAATAATTTTTTTTAATTAAGTCTAAGTTGAATGTACTGAGTTTTAACAGAAGAAAGAAAGAAAGACAAGATTATCCTGTTTTAATTTATAGCATTGTTTTGTAGACATAAAGATGTTTTTTTTTTTAAACAAACAAATCAATATCATTAAAAATCGTCATCATATATTATCTATGTTTCGGAGTTTGATGTGACATTAATGTTGCTGAACTAGTATTTGTTTTTTGTTTAGGAACTGCTGCAGTCCACCGTCAAGTGTATGATTTTATCGCTGCGCTGAAGACCCATTGATGCAGGTAGGCTGTTTTATGCTATTTGATCTGGTCGTTGTTTCCCTGAAAAATTCCTCGTGTCCACTCTCTATTCTATATATATATATAAATATAAGTCTGCAAATTACACCCAACAGTGTTAGAATTAGATTTTATGCTGACAAATTTTTGTCCCTCAACGGGATTCGAACTCACATCTTTGATACACTACAGCACCAATCGCTTAGCCTCATATCCAGCGCTCTAGACCACCCGACAATACAACATATTTTTATTTGTCAGCAATCTAACTCAGCAATTTTTATATACCGTTTTGGATAATGATTCAATTCATTATACAGTCACTAGAAATAGGTATATCATACACACAGGTCTTAGCAAGTGACAACCATACATATATATGCCCACTGGATCTCAGTGTGTTTGAGGTACAGAGTTAATACAGATATTTATATAAAACTGCAAATTACACCCAGCAGTGTTAGGATTAGATTTTTATGCTGACATATGTTTGTCCCTTAACAGGATTCGAACTCACACCTTTGATACTGTACAGCACCAATCGCTTAGCCTCATGTCCAGCGCTCTAGACCACTCGACCACATCCGCTATAAAATATAACTTCAATAGTCATAGTGTTACCTTGTCACGGAAGGCGAATCTAGAGATAGACATAAAATATGTGTTATAAGCGTGTGAAGATGTTATATTATCATATTATACACAATGTATTTTTATTTGTCAGCAATCTAACTCAGCAATTTTTATATACCGTTTGAGATAATGATTCAATTCATTATACAGTCACTAGAAATAAGTATACATGTATTTTACAACTATGTCAGTTGGACCTGCTTTGATACTATAACTGCCCTTGAATTTTTACTAGATAACATTTTTGTTCGCTAACGAGATTCCGTATATCGTCTGGTTATCGGAATTTCCATGGGGACTAACTGTGCACCACTTATTGCGGATCTGTTTTTGTATTGTTATGAGTTACAATTTATGAATAAAATCAGCAAAGACCCATTGAAACAACATCTGATTCAAAAATTTAACAACACTTTTAGATATTTAGATGATGTTTTGGTTCTCAATAATGACGACTTCAGTATGTACACTAAAGAGATTTATCCTGGAGACTAATTTTAAATAATGCTAATACTAACAATGAACACTGCCCTTTCCTGGATCTTGATATATTTATCTTTAACGGGAAGCTTAATACCAAAATTTATGATAAAAGAGATGATCTTTCATTTCCTATTGTCGCCATCTTATGGTGTTTATACATCTCAGCTTGTTTGATGCGCTCGAGTATGTAACAACGTATTTGATTTCAACGAAAGAAATCTCTGTATTACTGAAAAATTATTACACCAGGGTTTTCGATATCACAAACTGGTCAAAACATTTACTTAATTTTATCATCGGTACAAGGACATCATTCTTAAATATAAATCAACATGCAGACATCTTATACGTTCAGGTATTTCACAACTAATATTTTATAGTAATATTCTTTACAAAGCACAAAAGTGTCGGCATTCACCTCAAAAGCTAACCAAACCTTTAAACAGACTTATTTGGAAAGGATATAGTTACGATACTGTTGTCAAGTCATTAAGGATTGCATATTTTGGTATTAATATTGATTCACTCATAGGGTCTTTGCATCGGAATTACACACATTTATTCTAAAACTAGTTGTTGGCATGATACGGGTTATGTTATTCTCATATATTTTATGATGGTATGATACTAAACCCCTAACGGGAGGGATTGTACTTGATTTTCATATGATGAAGTTATAATCTTTCAATCAGTTTAACTGAGGTCTGGAGCTGGCATGTCAGTAACTGCTAGTAGTCCTTTGTTCATTTATGTATCATTGTCATTTTGCTTAGTTTCTTTTGTTACCTATTCTGACATCGGACTCGGACTTTTTTTAAACTGAGTTTTACTGTGCGTATTGCTATGTGTTTCTTTATTCTACATTGGCTAGATGTATAGGGGGAGGGTTGAGATCTCACAAAACATGTTTAACCCCGCCGCATTTTTGCGCCTGTCCAAAGTCAGGAGCCTCTGGTATGTTTTAAATTTTAGTTCATTTATATGTGTTGGAGTTTAGGGTGACGTCCATTTTTACTGAACTAGTTCACAATTTTATATAGGGGCCAGCTGAAGATCACCTCCGGCTGCGGATTTTCTCGCTGCGTTGAAGACCCATTGGTTGCCTTCGGCTGTAGTGTGCTCTTTGGTCGGGTTGTTGTCTCTTTGACATATTCCCCATTTCCATTCTCAATTTTATATATATCTGTTAGTGCAAAAAAACGATGCTCTTTTCGATGACAAAGATAAGAACGTTTGACCTTTTCACTTGAACACGGGTATTTAATTTTCGTTTTAAAAAGCGATGGCTAATTTAGATTTTACAAATAAGGTATGTTTGGACAATAAGTTTAACAAAATATTAACGAAGTACAAAAATTGACACCATCAAAATGATAGATTCACATCTGAAAACTCATTTGATGTGTTTGAAGAACAGAAGTATTCGAAAGAATCTCAGTACTCATGTAAAAGTCAAAACTGTGTGTTCTTCTTTTCATAGAGTGTCAGCTGATAATAAAGGGATATTGTAACTCACACGTCGATTGCTAACCGACAACGCTATTACAAAAAACGAAAACCAAAAACATTCTAACCTCTTCCTTTTTCTGATTTAGATTAAAAAACAGTTTGAATGAGGGAGATACACTTCTTAATTCAAAAATATAAGCTAAACATCAGCAAATTTCAATCAAACTATATCCATATTTTCACAGTGCCGAAATCATTGGTTCGGCCAAGTGACATTGATTCGTTGATTTTTTTATTGTTTGGTGTTTAATGCCACTTCTAGCACTATTGGCTTTTTCTTGGACGTCAGTTTTTTTATTGGTGGAGGAAGCCAGTGTACCCGGAGAGAACCACTGACTTTTTGGTAGGATAACTGACAATCTCCATCATTTAAGATTGAAGTCGAATACACCTGCTAATACTAGATTCGAACTCACAACCTCAGTGTTGACAGGATAGTCATACAGCTGTTGAACTACTTATACTACCCGGCTTACGAGGTCCTGGCTCAGTGTAGGTATAACAGTAAGTATACTATTTTTTCTGCACCAGTTGCGCATTTCGATAATTAATGTCTAAAGATAAGAGGAATAAACTCCATTGTAATGTTATGTGTATTAGGTTTGCCTTAGTACATGCCTAATATTTTTGACTTACCATTACTGGGTACCAAAACAACCAACACGACCATAATGTTTAACCAATTTTCAATGCTTTGGCACGCATAAGTCTTAATTTTAGTACTTCATAGAGGCGATACACTAACTACATACATCATTTACAGTATTTGCCTCGTGAGAGGTTGATTGTATGACCAATTGAATTGTTAACACTGAATAGTTGTCCTTATGTGAATTTCATTATATTCCTGTGAACTAATCTTAACTAATCCCCCGAATTGATTACGTTTTTTTTATGTTCATCGATAACATACATATACATATGAGTTGTATCTTTTTTTATACAGATAACATACATACCTGACGTTCAGTTGAGGTATACAGGCACATCAATATAAACACTATTACTGGAATGAGGTTTAAGATAAGTGCTAACCATGGCGGAATGCTCTCAAATCCAACAATTAATGCTCCCAAGATAATCATGAATATTGTTCCTGGTGTTAGAATTGTGGAAACAAACAAAATGAATTGATACACAATGTACAGGAAGGATATATTTTCATTATTTTTGGTTACATTTTTCCAGTCTTGAATAATTTCTAAGATGTTGGCCATAGTTGAAGGTGTCCAACGTCTACGTTGGGTGTAGAATTCATTAAACGATTCGGGAGCAAATGTATGCGAATCTGATTCTGCACAATATTCAATTTTCCATCCTTTTTGAAGAAGCAGAGTGCATAACCATCGATCTTCGCCTGTCAAAATAAGTTGAGATCAAATTTCGTTTACAAGTGCTTAAACACACAGTTTGCTTAGTTTCTTTTGTTACCTATTCTGACAACTGACTCGGACTTCCTTTAAACTACGAATTACTGTGCGTATTGCTGTGTATTTATTTACTCTACATTGGCTAGAGGTATAGGGGAGTGTTGAGATCTCACTAAAAATGTTCAACCCCGCCTCATATTTGCGCCTGTCCTAAGTCAAGACCTCTAGCCTTTGTTTGCTTTGCGTGCGTATGGATGGTTTTTTTGTTGAGTCTTGTATGGTTTTTTTTTTAATTCTAGTTCATTTGTATATTTAGGAGTTTAATATGGCGTCCATTTTCATTGAACTAATACACATTTTTGATTAAGGGCCAGCTGAAGTCCTCCTCCGGATGCGGGATTTTTCTCGCTATGTTGAAGACCCAGAGGTGGCCTTCGGCTGTTGTTTTTTTTTTTTTTTTTTTTACTCTTTGGTCGGATTGTTGTCTCTTTGACACATTCTCCAATTCTGATTACTATTTGAAAAAATATATAAAAATAAGTGAGAGTTATATTTTACAAACGTATGTTATGTATAACCTTGCCGGTGTATAAGATATTTGTTTGCATAGAATGTTATCAAAATACAGATATTGGATACATATTTTAGTGTGCAAAACATATGTTTCTGGATCTGGTACGGTTATTTAAACCAAAAAAGGGCATTATTACATCTGCATGATGTAGAGCTGCTAACTACTTCTGTGGTAAACTTTACCTGACGGATAATTTTCATTTTTACAGGCGAAAAATTATTTTCATGACATTTTGAATAGCAACGAATAGTACATCATGCTTGTGTATGTTATTTGTAGACTACTGAGAAGAATGAAAGCTGAAACTGAAAGTCGACTGTTCATTGGATAGTAAATAAAGGCAACTGTAATATACCACGGATCCATAGTCGAAATTCAATTAAGCAGAACAAATCCGGAAAACAAACTAAAACCGAGGGAAACACATCAACCATATGAGGAAAACAACGGAGCAATAGAAACACTGAACTACAACAAAAGCAAACGCATTCATACACCGTAAACATTGACAAAAGTAAGATTAGATATTTAAAAAATTAAATAAAATCACATTTTCATTTTAAAGCAGAAACTTTATTTCTTTAAATAACTTGATCATGAAAATGCCGATCTGGTCCAGTGCAATTGAAAACGTTTGATTTAACTACAACCGTTGACACGAAACATTATAATACCAATGTCAAGACCAACAAAAACAAACAAACAAAAAACAACCCGGAAAAGATAATATGAATAAACTAAATATCACATTGGCATGTTTCCTTTCTGTAAGTTAACTGTTTTTAAAATATCGAGCCTTTCGAAACATCAAGGTGTCTCTTCCCCGAGGAATAGATTGCATTTGTCTTATTTGTCATAACTTTTGAAATTTTTTATTGATTTTAAGTTGTCTGCAACTTCAGATTTGATTTGGCCAATGTAAAAATGAAAACAAAATATTTTCAATATCAAAGTTTTTCAGCATTCAAAAAGTATGATTGTGATTTCAAAATGGTTTTAATCAGTATGGTTCCTGACTTTTTTCTAATCAGGTGTTCACCTAAATGCTTTTCAAAAGTGGCTTGCAGAAGTAATGGGATGCGGTATAATCAACCAGTGGTGTCTATAAGATGGGGATAGTTAACAAATCTTAGGTGTTAATTTAAAATCGTTACCCCAATCTAAATTAGATTACAGTGATATATAAAAAAATTGTTATGTACATGTATGCCCCATGTTCAATAGAAAGATTGTTTACATGATCTCATTAACGAGAGCTTTTCCTACAAAAATGTGAAACTTATATGCAAATTCCTAGCGTTAATTAAAGAAATATCATTCTCCTTGAAGAACCACACTCGTATTGATGTTAAATATCACATTAAGAACATACGCGCTTCCATGTACATGTTCACACTATACGGACTTCATGAACAGAGAAGTGCTCCTTTCATGAAAACTACCCCAACAGAGATATGGGAAAGACAACTGAAATCGACGGTTTATATAAGTGTAATCACGAATTTTTTTCATCGATACGATAGGTCGGTATTTCAACTCACTAGCTAATTTTCGCGGTCTTAATGTTATCATGGAATGAATTTAATTTACGCTCAATCATTTTCTCTATCATTTTCTCAAATCATAATCTTTAGAGTATACTTGCTATAATTTCGATTAAAAAACCAAAAGGTATTTTTAAATGCAGTATTTGTCTCCATTAAAGGCGTTTTTCAGTCCTTGTCAGTTTTTTGTTTTTGGTTCGTGTGTACATTTTGTAAGAATGCCTATAGCAAATTGATTTGTCTTATCAAAGTACGTCGCTCTCATTTAAATTTGTTGGTCGCGATAAAATAATAATTATACAAGAAATGCCGAGAAAATGCCTGAAACATCCTCTACTTCAGAACTTTGGGAAGAAAGTATGGCAGTCGACGAAATCCCAAATTTAATGTCAACGGCACATGTTCATTGCACAAGCACAAGTATTAACATTGCAAATACAGATTCTCGTAAATATCGCCCGGTTTTGAAGAAGTTATGGCCCTGGTTACTTTATGATCAAAAGTAAAATAACAAAAATACCGAACCCCGAGGAAAACTAAAAGCCCTTATCAAATGGTAAAATCAAAAACTGTCATATTCCTGACTTGATGCAGGCATTTTCTTTTGCAGTAAAAGGTGGATTAAACCTAATTTTATAGCTATTTAAACCTCTCACTTGTATGTCCTATACAATTTCATTATGCTGACAACGATGGCAGAAAAACGTACAACAAATCTTGCCAAAAATCATTTCTACTAATTTGAAATTTAATTGTTCGTGTTTTCTTATAAAGATTCATTTTTCTACCCTCGAATTATCTTGTGGCACATAATCTAGATCATCTACTTTAAGTCTGCCATTGTTACTATTCTGGTCAATCAGTTTATTGTTTTTGCCCAATATAAATACAGCGTAACAGTTGTTATTTTTATCTTTTATTATGTTACCACTGTGATCAAGTTTTACGTTTTCTCAAAATAATGAAATTTAATCAAATATCATAGATTATTCAATATTTAATAGTACAGATTTTAATAATCAGTCAAGATCAGATATCTATTCTTAACCACAGCATTCCCTTAATCATTCTGTGTACTGAAGTAATGTTGGTTTGGTCATATATTGGTCAGTTTATATAGAAAAAATATCTGCAGATCACTGAAGCTGATTGGTTTTGAATAGTAATCTCAATAACAATCATTCAATCTTATAATTATACCCGAACACTTTGATAAAGGAACAGGGGATGACGGAGACATTGTGTCATAACATGATGAAGTATTCACATATTAAATAAATAAACTTACCTTGATCATACTGCAAACACTGTCTTGCTTCTTGTGCAACTGAAGTATATGTCTCAAGTACTTCGTGTTGTAATATTGCAGAACCTCGGAACAAACTGAAACAGCCAGGACTACATAAGACACAACCAATCACGTGTTCAGTTGCCTTCTGAAGCCAATGACTTATAGCATATTCAAACTGTTGATACCAAACCATAGGACCTGTTTATAAAACATGAACATGCCTTTGTTCAAAATAAAAAAAACTTAGGCTAAATAATGTCATAATATTGATAGAGACGCTCATGATGTGGAAAATCTGTCTATTTCTTAAAGAGTAATTGTCCCCGCCGACGGCTACTTCCGTTGGGATATCAAAAGTCTCCAAGACACCCCAAAACACATTTTATTCAATAAATTAAATTGTTTGACAGATAACTTGTAGACTTAGGATTATTTGTCTTTATTTTTTTCTTGAACAACCTTCACCATCACATTCGATCATTTTTACAACAGTTATGGAACTTTGGCCAGCTTTAAGATGTTTAAACAATCCCAACTTGTGAACGCCACTCATCTGACAACATTTGACAGACGGATTGTTTGATATCATGTGTAACTAACCAAGCTGTACTACATTTCTATACTATTATTTAATGTAAATTCTGATTCCATAGCAAAGGGAACATTTTGCTATGTTTTTTTTGGTGGTACGGACTGTATTTCTCTTTTAATAAGTCATTATGTGTTTAATCTAAGTAACATGTAGACAGATTATAACCAAAGTAAAGTATAGAAAAGAATCCCTGTGTTATGCCCTTTTATAATATTCTAATTTAAATTTGAAAACACCAAATGAAATCCGATATATATATATCAGCGTTTAAAAAAATCTGTATGTCTATGTCATTTATGTGCAGGTTACAGTTAGTAATATGAATTGAAAAAAAAACTGTTGAAATTGAAATAAGGAGATGAGGTTTGATTGCCAATGAAACTATGACCCTTCGGAGGCCAAATGTTGTGGATGACATCACAAAGAAGATCAATACAAACCATTATGAAGAAGTATACAACACGTTTCAATAAAAAAAGTCTTTATAATCAATTTGAATATTCCTAAATATAAACCACTTTTATTCAAATACGTCTTTTTCTGCTCTAAAACGAAAACAAGTATATCAATAAACCCACAATAACATACCATTTCCAATGGGATGAATTCTGCCACATGCTGCCCCTACTTTATCGTTCTTTTCCATTCGTCTCATTAAACTTAGTACAGCCTCTGGTTGGAAGTCAACATCTCCATCAAGAGCTAGTAGGAAGGTATTTTCAGCTATTTCCTGGATTTGTTTCTTTCTTTCTAACTTTCTTTTTAACTTTCTTTCTAACTCTTCTTTCGTTTTATTTAACTTTCCTTTCTTTTTATCAATTTCTTTCTTGCGTTTGGTTTCTGAACTGTTGTAGTTTTTTTCGGGTTTTAGAATCCGTGGTATTTTCCATTTCAAAATGTACAGCATATACATAACCTGAATTATATAAATACATTTTCTGTAATGCCTAGTAACACAAGTTTTTGCACCCTGCCAAGACATAACCTGGAATGAATCCTTAATGAATGATCGTTTTTTAACCTTATTAGTTTGACAGTTTTTTGATTTTTTTTAAAATAATGTATGGGGCTTGAACTTATCGTGATTTTACCACAGATTGGCCCTTTATGCTAAAACGTTTACCACTAGCGACAACGGGGGTATCAGCATAAAGGATCAAACAAATCAATACAAATTCAAGCCCCAATGAATTATTTCTATTCTAAAAGGACAAACACAATTCTATTTGATCTAACCGCTCTATGTGAAGGGCAATGTTTGCTGTTCCAGTAATTGAACACACTATTGATATTGACGTAAACGACGTAGGCAATTGAAAAAGTGACATTCTTAATCGATAAACAATAACATACTAAGACAGATGTGGATGAGTTTAATTGACTATCTTCATTTTATTTAGTAGATATGGACTTTATACACTTACCATCGTTTGTTTATGATTTTGTGTTTTGACGATTTTCAGTTTCCTATTCGTTGCTTATTCCCGTAAAATCCTTACATCCTGACGTCATTTACACCATCTGACGTGGGGTTAATTATTCCGAAAAATCATATGACGTGGGAGTTGGATTCGAACAGCCCAAACGAAGCATGACTTTTGCAATCAACTGACATATGAATATGTTCGAATTTTAACACGGGTGTGTACTAAGTGTTTGAAGAACGTCATATTAGAATTTGTAATAAACAGAATTGTTATGGTGATATTCAGTAAAATGTAAACAAAAGCCATTGCACTCTTTATCGTATAAGATACACAACGACTCCCATTTTGGGGTTGTTTAGAACTGTTCCTATGATAATTAAATGTTAAATGCATCTGTATCATAAACTCGTTTTCGATTAAATCGATAATACCTTTGTATACACAAACAAAGTATTAATAAAATTATCGAACTCGAAGGTAAATTAAGAAAAGGGAAAATAAAAACAACAAAAAAAGAAAAAAAGACACAATCAACGTTACACTGTATTAACCAACTAGAAAGCAACTGTCATATAAATTATGGTTTGGAGCTAAAATATGTAAAATATCTTTTTAATCAAAAACAAATAGTCATACAAAACATCGTGTTACTAGATGTACGAAGCAAAATTGATGGATCAAGTAAAACATTCTTGTGATGTAATCTTTCTACATAACAAAATTAGATATGCTAAAATAACCGTGTGCAACTAAAATGCTATAATTGAAACTCCCATTCTTGCCCGAAAAATTAACTGATTTTCCATGACACATTGTCAAACAGACATTTTGCTAGATTAACTGTTTGTTCTTTAGCTAAAAACATAGACGGACACACCGTTAACTAGTTTAATGTTTCATGTGTATGTCAAGCGTTCTTGAATTTGAAATCTTAAGTTATCAAAATGAATAAAAAATAAACATTAAAATAGATATATATGACTATATTTCTTCCATTTCATAAAATATTTGAATGGAATGTTTTTAATATTTTATCTTTTCATTGTGCTTACTAAAATTTGACCTAACAATGTAGTGTAAAATTTTAATTTATTAGAAGGAAAAAAATATTTATCTTTTCAAATTGATTTTTAACGGTAGATTCGTAATGACGCATTGTGTAATGTGCAACATTAGTTAGTCTCAAGAGCTCACATGACAGTGCGCAATGTTTGCAATTGCTGCCCTTTTCTTGAAAAGAAAAATAGGAAAATATAATTCTATGTTTTTAACCCAAGAAAAGACTTTGTCTATTTATAATTTGAAATATTGTTATATATTTTCATGCATTTACAAAAATATAACAATTTATATGACACTTAGGAATCATATCACTGATCTCCGATCATTTTCACATAAGAAAGCACAAGTTCTTGTTCTTCATATAAATTATGGATTTGGTCGAGGAAAATAATTTATAAATAGATAAGGATTGATATCAATATTTAATGGTCTCATGTACCTGACTCCAGCGCTTCTTGTTTCGAACTTTTGTCTTGTCTTTCAAATGAACGAACATTTTATTCTCTCCAGGAAGTGTCCATTCAATCCTAGAACCATAAGGAGTTCTAAGCATACCGCCGTCTGGTAATTCAATTTGTTTTTCATAAAAATCCCTGATAAAGAAAATATTTGATGTAAAGATTTTATACAGAGAAACTATTACATAATAAAAAAAAATATCCGTCAAGGGCGATTTCATATATTCAAATACTTGTCTTTTTTAAACTAAAGTTTTCCTGGAATGTCTGTCTCATTTAAATTTAAATTAGACTATACATTTGTAGTTTGAATAACTTAATTTTTGTTTTTTTTATAGAAGAATATTGATAAGATGATGACAATGGGTTTTTCAAGTAAAGAAACTAATTTGTTAAAAACATAAAAAAGCAAAATTCGATACAATAAACACAGAACAATATAAAATCTGTTTTACGCATTGCTGTCAATGATATTGAACTCTTTGCCACATTCAAACAAGTGAGAGATTTAGCAAGCTATTAAACTAGGTCAACCCTCCATTTTCTGCATACATAAAGTAATGTACCAAGTCAGAAATATGTCCGCTGTTTTCCGGTCGTTTGATACGTTTGAGCATTTGATTTTTTCATTTGATAAGGGACTTTCTGTTTTTAATTTTCCTTAGAGATCGTTATTTTTGTTATTTTTCTAATTGTATAGTTTTTTTTCAGATTTTTTTTTAAATACTGGCCATGGTCGACTGAGAGGTAGTGCATATTCTTCACAGAAAGCAAATAAGCATAGTTCAATTATATGTTTATTTGAAAAATCAATCAATATATTAAGTTTGCGTTCTTGTAATAAGCATTAAAGACAACTAAATTCCTTTCATTGTAAAGTTGAACATACCTGGTAGCATCACTCAATTCTTGTATGAAGGTTTTAACATATGTATTCATTTCTCTTCTTTGACTTTGTGTGTCCGTTGGTTGTAAAAATGCATCATCAAAAAATACATGAGCTGAAAAATCAATTTGTTTTATATTGTATGGCCATGTTTTTTTCTCACATTCTTTCATAATCACGTTTTTTCACTAAATCTGTAGGATTTGTGCAGATTAATATGTTGATTTATGAACAAAAATTCTATCCATAAGTTGAGATTGGGCCTTAGACAAAATTGAATTTGCTGCAACAACGCCGAGATCGGTACTATATTTGATCTTTTGTTAAATGTTTATGCTGTTCTGATAATAACGACCAAATAAGTCAGCCCTTGTCAAACTGATATTTTCAGTTTGGTCTTTTCTTCAGTTTTTATATTACTTTCCACCTAATGTAAGAAGTAGGTTGAGCGCTCTGAAATATATTTTGTGTTCTTCCATTTCATGAGCTGTATTGCAGTGGTTGTCTTTTCTTGCAGGCTGACATATCTAACTGTCATTCATGTTGTAGAATAAAACATGGAAGTGTATTTCCTAATGAATTATTTCAAATATCATAATATCAGTGCTTTATGTTTTTATTTCACATTGACGTTTCATTTTTTCTTTGGGTAATTTTCTAATTGACAAAAGTACAACCTGCTATTTTCATTAGAAAATGCAAACTATTCAATTACGAAGAAACACACCATGACTGTTTTTTTTTTTCTGTCTAAATTAGTTTTCTTAAAAGTAAAATTAAAAAAGTACCTTCTAAATCAAATGTCTCGACATTTTCCTTTAAATCTTCTTCCATAAATTTGTTTATACTCTGTCGCAAGTCTAACCTATTTTAACACAAACGACTTCTGACAAAATGTTTTAATATTAAGATAGAAGACATTAGTAAAGGACTTGAGGAGAATAGGTCATATAACAGTGTTGAATTAGAGTTTCCTCTTAAAGTTGATGTGTTTCCCCCGATTTTAGTGTGTAATCCGGATTTATTTTCTCGCAATCGATTTATGTCTTTTTAACAGGGGTATATTACTGTTGCCTATATTCGATTAGGAAAAAAAATATTAATAATTGATATGTACTTTTTCGTACTTTCGAAAGATGATTTTAAAAAATGCAATAAGACAACGTTTTACATGATCCAAGAATGACGGACTATTTTAAAATGTTAATATGCATATACAGATATATATAATACGTGAACACATAATTAAATTTGATCTGTTTAATCTGTAAATTTCTTTTACACTAAATTATTTGAATAGATATATGGGGCAAACATGATGTACTTGTAGGACTATAAACCGCGATGCATATGGTTACGCTGTTGTGTGGTTTTGGTCACGCTGAAGTTCGTTTTTAATCACGCTGAGGTGTTTATTTGGATCATGTTGAAGTCCTATGGTTTCATATTGAGATATTTCGTTGATTTATACGCCGACGTACGTTTTTTGAAACCCTGAAGTGCGATGGATACATAAAATATAGACATGTTTTTAATGTTTTCGCAAAGAATTCATTTTCTCGAAAAAAATAAAAGTCCAGTTATTCTCATTGAATGATGTCATAACAAGGACGAAACTTCTTATTTGATGAGACATACCATTTCACTTATGTAACACCATAAGGGAAAAATTAAAAATTTTCAATGGTGTCCGTCTCTTTTAAAGCATGTTATATATTCATGCTTCCTTGTAAGTATTTCTTTTAAAAACAATCTTTTACCTTCATCCTTGAGATTATGATATGACATAAAACTTTGGTGGGAAATACCAATATGCAAGATTGTATAAATTATGTTAATATTTAAAAGATAAAATCTTCCTTTTTACATTTTAATAATGAAGTAGATATAACTGTGTTTCTGCTATTTTTTATTCCAAGTTTGATTTTGAAATGAAGATAAATTAAACAACGTCTGACTTTATCAAAGAAACTAACATAATTCCTCATCAATTGAATTCAAACTGATAACAACCATTACCAACATTAGAAAATCATAGAAATAACTACAATCAACAAAATAACAGACTTAGCATCATTTTACAGATTCTGCTGAAGCAATTTTTGATTTGATGATTTTTATTGTCTCAAAGTCCTTAATTAATAGAACAATAATTGGCATTGTTCTCCATGCAGCAGAGTCAGAGAAAAACATGGCCGCTCTTGTGCAATGTCACTTAGTGTCCACAGAAATTCCTACAACATGTCATTACAATTTTTATTAGAACTGACACAAATGTTGCCAAGGAGAAAATCAATATCATCACACCTTCAGTAAGTATACCAATCATGTTTATGTCAATTATATGTTTTTTTCCTTTATAAATTAACTGTTTGCAAAAGTAAAAGTTATTCGAAATACTTAGGACTTTCTTATCCCTGGCAAAGATTACCTTAGTCGTAATTGGCACAACTTTTTGGAAGTTTGGGTCCTTAATGCTCTTTAACTTTATACTTGTTTAGCTTTTCAACTATTTTGAACGGAGCGTCACTGATGAGTCTTATGTAGACGAAACGCGCGTCTGGCGTATCAAAATATAAGCCTGGTACCTTTGATAACTATATTTACCCTCCTCATTTTAAAAAAAAGGCTTATATGAGTTGCAACAAATAAATTTTCGATCAGATTTATCAATTGTTAGTTCATTCGATTTTGCAATGTTCCCCCTAATTTTAGTAGAACCTTTAATTGTGATATATCGTCGTACCTACCGAACATAACAGAAACTCAATGAAGTAACCATTTATTTGAACAAAGTGAACAAATTACGGCAATTACCTTAAAATAGATGTTACCAGCTGTCTCATTTCAGCCGCATTTTCATGCCACATTGTGGCACAACAAGCATAGAGTATTCTCCTCTTCTTTTTTTCTTCACCTGATTTCTGTAATAAAAACTTATATATATTCTTTAATTCTATGGAAATCAAATGTTTTAGAATTATGAAATGGATTCAACATTAGAAATATAAATGTACTGGACAGGAAAAGACAATGTAAACAATGCAGTTATCTACCATTATTTGTCAATTGATATAAGTAACATGAGTGAACAAATAATAATATCGATTTCAATTTCGTATGTTCCAGAAACAACATGGTATGTCGGAAAAGCACATGCTCCATTTATGTTATTGTAGTATATTGCTATTCAAACTCATTCACTGTTTATAAATGCCCTACTTCCTTCTTAACAGTTTAATGTTAGTCATTTGATAGATCATTATTGTCAACATTAAGTCTTAATTATTTAATTAATTATTGATTTGGTAATCTTCAAGTATATTGTGAAAAGCTTGACATTTTGTTTTTATGCATTTTTTGTCCTGATTAAACTAGACTTGCGGTACATATTTCCTAGAATTTGAAACCTGTTGCACACAAATGCCTGGACAGGATACCATCAATTGAATAAACTTATTGTAGTGTAAAAGGATGTTGTCCTTTAATTTCTTTGGGATTAGTATATTAATAAACGCGTTCTGTTAATATTTTTTTTTATTACAAACAATAGGTAACATGGATTTTGCTCATTGTTGAAGGCCGTACGATGAACTGCAGGGTGCATATTATACACAACTGCGTAATATGCACAGCTTAATCCGGTGATAAACTGAAACATAATACATCAATCATTTGATGAAATAATGTAGTTTGGATATTGCTCATTGTTGAAAGCTGTACGATGACCTGTAGGGGTACAGTTCTATGTCATTTGGTCTCTGATGGAGAGTTGTCTCATCGGCAATCATACTACATCCTTATTTTTATTAGTTCTTTTTTTCTACTTTTTGTTTTTCTTTTTGTTTGGAGGGGTGAAAAAAGGTGTGTATTATACACAACTGCGTACTATACACGGCTGAATCCGGTGATAAATTGAAACCTAATACATTATTCATTAAATTTACGTTTTGTCTGGACTATATCTTAAGGTTAAGCATACGTTAGAACATACCTTTTCACGGTGAACAATGTCATATTCGTCATCATCTCTTCTACGATTCAGTAACAAGGACAGCTCAGTAAACATTCCACAGTAAAATGGTGAAACAAATATCCTGAAAAAAAAGATACACATGTTATCTATTAACGAGTATTTATGTTCAAGATGTGTATGCTACTGAAACAAACGCTGTTTTATAAAACAATGAAAGTAATTGCACTGTTACTTGTTATGTTAATATGTTTATAATTTAACCAACCAATAGTTTACAAGTAAACGAAATCTGAAATCTAAAATCTGAAATAAATCCATGATCAGCAAATCAAAACAACAAAAAACAATATAGAGGTTAAAATATGATATATATTCTAGAAACACGACGAATAAATAAGGCAAACACTATCAAAGATCTCTCATTCGACCATACTATTACTTGTATGTTTAATATTTTTTCCAAATTGAATGAAAATGTAGGACTATCGGACCTTTTGGAAATAATTAACAGTTTTTCTATTGTTTTTATTTGAAAGATATTCCCCACGTCCTACAATGAAATGATTTCTTTATTACCTATGCTCGAAGAAAATTATTATTCGCTTCCGGTTTTGAGAAATTAAAATAACAAAAACACCAAACTCGAAGAAAAATGTCCCGTAACAAATGGCAAAATCAAAAGCCCAAACACATCGACTGTCATATTCCTAACTTTGTACAGGCATTTCCTTATATAGAAAAGGACATATGATGCTTTTATCATGTAATTGGCATAATTTTTTTATTGTAATTTAATGCTAAAACATATTAATTTGTATTATTTTAACGGGCTTTCATCACAAATACCCCATAGTCTTATTTTACGCTTTGAAAGCCAGAGATCAAATAAATCTTTATGAAGCTTCATTGTGGATTAGCAGACCAACTATAAGAAATTTACTAAAAATAATCAACCTTAATGACGTTCAAGTCGACAAATGCAATTTATCAAAGTTACAAATGTATCCATGTTATCAGCTCAGACCAAAAATATTAACCTTGCAGTTTCTCCATTTTTCCGGCCATCTGATTTCCAGACATGTCTTGTGATGAGAAGAATAGATATAAACAGCAGAACAAATGCTGCAAGTAATTCTGTGCAATTTTCAGATAATCGACTACTATCTTTGATACACCAGTCAGAAAAAAATAGATCACATGACTCTAATTTTAAAATATCTGGTTGATTCATCAGGCCTCCCATTACAATAGTAACCACAGGTGGTAGCATCATTATCGGTAGACTGAAGCAAAACCTTTGGCAGTTGATTACGCATACTGTTTTTGATGTCTTATAACAAAGATAGTTACACATTATACAAATAAAAGCCGTTAAAAATGGCACATTCGTTTGGCAAACCGGATTGAATCCAAATTGTTGCTCTCCAAAGACGGTATTCATGGTCGTCATTCCATTGTTAAATAACGCTTTCAATGCAGCCATTGAATCGCTCCCCCTACTGACAAATACCACGATGACTGCACAAAAAGTAATTAGTATTTTCCAAAGACTGACTATACATGTAGTCTTAGTTCTTCTTTTATGTAGTTCTCGTTTCAAGCGGCAAGCAAATTTTGAGTCGTGTGAACCCATGGTGATAAAGTTTTCCCAGTATTTCATTGAGATAAGTAGTACTGAAAGCAAAAATGAAGCAATCATTGTTCCAATATTAATGTAAATCGTTATAAGAATAATGCCTGCAGCATGCAATATTAACCCTGCGAATGGTAATGCAAAGGATAGTTTTGATGTTTTATTACATAGAGTAAATGTAGAATCTCCTTTACATGCAGTTCCTTCCCTTGAACTTTCTCCATGTGTATTCTCATTTTTGGGGTTATTCTCGGCTGTAGTCTGTTGACCGATTGCCTCATTATCCGGTCCATATGATGGCTGTTCATTCGTATCATGTGAAGGATTTTGACGTTTTGATTCTGAATTCGTTCCATTTGAAGTCTGTTCATTCGTTTTCGTAGTATCCGTTGCCTCATTATCCGGTCCATATGATGGCTGTTCGTTCGTTTCATGTGAAGGATTTTGACGTTTCGATTCTGAATTCGTGCCATTTGAAGTCTGTTCATTCGTTTTCGTAGCATCCGTTGCCTCATTATCCGGTCCATATGATGGCTGTTCGTTCGTTTCATGTGAAGGATTTGGACGTTTTGATTCTGAATTCGTGCCATTTGAAGTCTGTTCACTCGTTTTCGTAGTATCCGTTGCCTCATTATCCGGTCCATATGATGGCTGTTCGTTCGTTTCATGTGAAGGATTTTGATGTTTTGATTCTGAATTCGTGCCATTTGAAGTCTGTTCATTCGTTTTCGTAGTATCCGTTGCCTCATTATGCGGTCCATATGATGGCTGTTCGTTCGTTTCATGTGAAGGATTTTGACGTTTTGATTCTGCATTCGTGCCATTTGAAGTCTGTTCATTCGTTTTCGTAGTATCCGTTGCCTCATTATCCGTTCGATATGATGACTGTTCCTTCGTTTTAGCTGCAGGATTTTGACGTTTTGATTCTGAATTCGTTCCAGAAGATTTTCTATTAAGTTGCATGGCCATAATATTAATTAGATCTAATATCGGCGGTATCCCACAAACTGCTAAATAAACGACTGACGAAGAAGCTGGATCAAATGCAGGTAGCACAAGAAATCCCAGTATCGAGAGTCCAACTGAATGAAGGGTTTCAATAACGATGAGCTTAAATTCAGAACATATTATAATTAAGGCAACCGCCGTGACCAACACATTTACAATGAATGACAATTTTTTGCAGGTAACTGCAAATAAACCATAACAAATACATATTTTTAAATCTTCGGAAATCGTTTCAAGCAATTTCATCATTTTTTATCGACAGCGCAGAACTTATATTTAAAGTAAAGGTGATTACATCGAGTTTGTTTCAAGGTCAAAATTAGCAGCTTTAATGAAATAGATTCAAATGAACATAAGAACACGAGCATTGTGTTGACACAAATGTCTGAATAACACGAGCATAGAAAATGTTAGAGCAATTTTCTACAAAAGGAAGGCGAAACTATCATGAGAGACATTCAAACTCATAAATCGGAAACAATCTGACAACGCCATGTCTGAAACAGGAAAAAGATCAAAAGACACCTAACAGTATACAAAACACAACATATAAAATCTAATACTGAACAACACGTACCCCACCAAAAACCGAGGCTGTTCTCAAGTGCTCCAGAAAGTTAGGCAAATCAGGCTCCAAATATGATGATTCAGACGGGCAAAATTGCAAAATTATATTTCCATTTTTTTAAACACTAAAAGTTCTACAATGCACAGTGCGTTATATCAAGGGACCTAGCAGATACTCCTAGCTTATAGTATATATGTATATGATATCGGTTGTATGGTGTTTCTCCGATATCAAAGCTTATCAGAGGCAAGACCCTAACCTACCTTGTACCTTTTATTCATAACAAGAGTAATGAAATCTAATGGAATCAGATATAAATAGGAAGATGTGATATGATTGCCTATGAGACAGCTCACCAAATATCAAAACGACATAGAAATTAACAATTATAAATTATCAATCGACCTTCAATAATAAGCAAACCAATACCGCATAGTAAGCTTCAAAAGGTCCCCAAAAGACAAATTCAAAACCATTTAAAATGGGAAAACTGACGACCTGATTTATATACAAAACAAAGATGATATACAGCAACGATTGGCATCAACTGATTTACAAATTCCTGACTTTGGACAGTCACATACAGAATGTGACGGGATTAGTATTCACATGACTGCAATGCTAGATGTCTCCAGCATATTAATCTTTAAACAACTGACTACAAGATAAGTATGCCTCAATAACCATTTACGTGGGTGATAATGTTTTCCCAAAACATGCCAAAGAAGATTAAAAAGGAAATATAACATAAAATTAGTGTAACCTGAAGTAAAACAAAATTTCTTTGTGTTTTGTGGATATTTTTGTTACTTCGTCGTCTCTTTTTTTATTTTTTTTTTTGCTATGACGGTTTTATCTGAAGAAGGATTGAAGCGAAGGATACCAAAGGGACATTCAAACTAATAAGTCGAAAATAAACGCAATGACTTAAAAGAGAAAAGTAAAGACAAACAACAGTAAACAAAGCAAAACAGACAACCAAGGACTGAGCAACAGGAACCCTTTTGATTTTTTGGCATATGAGAGCTATTTCCCCTTTTGTAATCTAAAGACCTTTGCTTGTGTGTTCGTCTCCTCTCAAACTATTAAATCAAGATACATTAGAGCTTATGCAAAATGTTTGGGTTATTGAAAAGAAGAAATGATACATTCGTTCAAAAGCGATATGATGACATCTTATATAAGTTATTGCCCCTGACATGTGAAATTTAAGGTTAATTGATTATTATTTCATTCTGGTATGTAACAAACTCATTGCCTACACTATATATAAGTGAAAGTATTAAGAAATTATATATTTTCAGAATCGGCATACAGTAGCCTTCAAGTGACATATACATGTATGACTAGAATAGCGAACTATCTCTCTTAGGCAAGATAAATAGAAGTCATACATTATCAGTGTAAAGTGAACTATCTAATGATATCGGCATTGAAACATAAGTGTCACTATATTTCACAGAAAGGTCTCTAGCAACCAATATTTTCTTTGGTAAATCTGTATAAAATATCCTTTTATATGACAAGAGGGTGAAATTTTCCACCAAAAAGTAACTAATATTCTCCGATATTTCAAATGAAAGTGCATAGAAATCATATGTTTTTGAAATCAGTGTTTACTCGTATATAGGTGTTTATTTTTACCTTTTTTGTCTTTCTAATCAAAAACCATAATTCTCATCTCATGTTGAAAGACCTTCATTTGTTCATGGTTTTTAATAGTTTTTCTTTTTATTTTGATTTGTATGTTTTGATAAAATCATGAAATTTGAACAATTGTACACAGCTGTCTATAATTTACTTACTACCATAAGTACTTTCCATTCTAATTCTTTATTTGATTTGAAGCAGATTCTAGAAAATGTAGACAGAAACGTTAAGCAATATGGTGCAATTACAACCAGGAACACTGCCCAGATCCACGATTCGTCAACAGCAGTATAATGAGTATTTACTATGCATGATGTTCCGCTGACACATGCGCAGTTTGGTTCCAGTAGACCTCCAAGAGTATTGATATTTGAGACGTGGGATTCTATTGGTGGATTGATGTGCCATATTAATATATGCAATGTTATCCTTCCTATAAATCCACTTGCAAACGTCAGGATAAAAAGAAAAATTGCAAAGGCAATTTTAAGAATCTGTTCTGCTTGTGGGCATACAGATTTCTTTAGTTTCGAAATATTCTGTTCTTCGGTATTTTCAGCATCTCTGTAAATATCAAACACATGACATTTGAATACCAGATTATATTGGTGCGTAACGGCTTGATGAATCATGATCAGATTTGTTCATTACTGAAATAAATATAGTACATTATACCGCATTGAAGATTGTATAGGAACCTGATGTTCAGTAGTTGTCGTTTGTTGATTTGGTTCATAAGTGTTTCTCGTTTCTCGTTTTTTTTATATAGATAAGACCGTTGGTTTTCCTGTTTGAATGGTTTTCCACTAGTAATTTTTTGGGTCATTTAATGCTTGCTGTTCGGTGTGAGTTAAGGATCCGTGTTGAAAGCTTTTTTTGTTTACCTATGTTGGTTTACTTTTACAAATCGTGACTTGGATGGAGTGTTATCTCATTGGCACTCATACCACATCTTCTTATACCTATATACCTATCAGTGCAAACATTTCAGACATTTCACAACCATATACCATCCAAGTCGGTTGGCATCGGGAATCAAGACAAAATGAAAAAAACAGCGATACAATCATTTCGTTAGCTTTTACTAAGCAACACAGTTTTGTTCTCACAAAAAGGCGATAAACATGTCCTATGTAAAATAATAAGAAATCATACAAATCCAAACTGTGGATCGATTGATTTATTTTTAGACATTGCTAAATCCTGTAAATCGGAAACTGATATTAATTGTAATAGCTGGTAAGAAGGTTTTTTTTTCTTCAAAATTCTCGCAATTCCAAATATAAAGTTGCAATCTATTTAAGTAGTAATATTGGTCGACTTAAGGAAAGTAAAGTTAATCGTTTAGTCCCTGCAGAATCTCAGATGAAATACTTATAACACTATTCATTCATGTAGAGCTATCGAATAATTGGTAGAATATTAGCATGCAGTTCCTACAAAACAAGGAACGTACAGTTACTTTACTTTTTATTACTTAAGGTAGTACACAACACTACAGGGAGATAACCCTGTAAAAATCAGCTGAACGTTTTAATCACATTCTGTGATTATGGAAATGTTAAGCTTCTCAATGATTTAAATTATTGTTTGTCAAACTTCTATATATATATGAATTTAAAAAAGGCGAAAGATACGAAAGGGTCTAAATGTAATATAGATAAAAGAAATGTATTACAACTTACTTATTTGACGTCTCTGGGTTGCTTTTATTTGAATTTCCTTCTGGTGTTTCTGCTATTTTAGACATGATGTCAAAATCAGATCTATACTGAAAACCATATATATGTGCTGTCAATTTTAAATTATCATATTGATGTTATAATAATACAAAGAGCAACATGCAAGATCATACATAAACCAATGTGAAAGTTCTTACAGTCATCGGAATTGTCAGCAAAACAATCTACAGTTCTTTTACACTTTTATTACACCTTTCCTGTTATACTTTAAAAGTATTTACTTTTGAATGTAATTTTCATATTTCATATAAATTATATGGTATTCGGCGAATCTTTGATTTCAGTGTAACAGCAATAAAAAATAAAAACGTAAATATTGTTAAATAAGACTAACACAAACTAGAATGGTATGTGACTAACGGCATTTTGTTGACCCTTGTAAACTTAATTTGAAATTTCGTTGGAAATATTACAAATATTTGTTTAGATATTAGTTTAAATGGTTTTCGATTGTCAATTTGATAGATAAGTAATACAATAAGAAAGACTTTATTCATTTTACTCATATGACAATGTAATGGACATGCATGACAGATAGTGTTTACAATTGTTGTTAATTAATTACAAAAATGCTATTGGTTTTTATTACAGGTGGTTAAGATAGAAGAAATACCACTTGACTTTATAATGCTTCTAATTGTCGTTAAAAATATCCGTTACTCTGTTTTAAAATAACAAGCTTTTTAAAAGACTGTTATAAATTGATGTCATATATATATAAAGAAACTAAAAAAGAAGGAAAAATTACAGGTACGAGTGCTTGTTTTCGAGATATAAGCCATTGAAAATTTAGCGGGAAATAATTCTATCCAGATTCTTCATACATTTAACATTGGCACCCTTTTTCTTTCAAAACGATGGAAAAATAACAAGGATTTTTTTTTAGATTTTCAACGATGACATTTTAAACTATGTGTAATGAATTTATGGAAAGAAAAGTAGGGGTTAATCAGCAAAATTTTTAATGGCACCACATTGGATACAACCAGAGGATATCTGGCAAAAATAAAAAAAAAAAAAAAACAAGAGGAGCAAATATCCTTCAGGCTCTTTTTGGGTGCACCCTTTAATGCATTTATTTATGACGGAAAGTTGATTAGGAAGAAATTGTGAATACATCTTTACCTTAAGTTTTTTCACCAACTTACATGTACATACTCTCTTCCCTTTAAAAATCTGTTTTGCCACTGTTTCAACTAAATTAACAACAATACCTAACTCGAATGTAAACTGCAAACGAAGGAAGTCCATGGAATCTGATGAATCAAGTGCTCGACTAAATTATTGAAATATATAATTATATTCCTAACTTAATACATTACGTTTACTTCGTCTTAAATTGGTCAACACAATGCTAGATGTGCAATTCAGCTGAAGCAAATGTGTTCATCCCTTAGCGCGGTTTGTACTCCTTTCCTCTGTGGAATCACCTCATTTTACATTCCTATAAGCTACCTAGATAATCCGACTTTCAACATTATAATAAAGATATCGTATCCAATAGTCATTTCATCATTCTTAGTCGCGGATTTAAGGCTTAAACACATATAACATGTATAACGCACTACATGATATGTGCTTCATGGATATCAGCTATTTTTCACATTCCGTACATGTAAATAATGACGAAATACATTACTTTCAAATCAATCTAATTACTTATCTTTGAACAGCTTTACGACTCACGCCTCATCGAACAAGCAAATCTTATGCCATTTCAACATACATTTCGTCTTAAACTAGCCCTAAAAATGTACTACATAAATGTACCATGTCAAAATATAAAATCCGAAAAGGAAAAACACAAATCATCAATTAAAGCTATATTTTATAAACCGAGTAGGCCAGGTGGATCAGGTCACTAAACATAGTACATATGTTTTTTTTTTATAAATGATCTATTATCTATTCTAATCTTCTTTTTTTCTTTCGAGAAATTTTGTTACAAATAAGTAAACACATGTAACTGTTACATATTTCATATTCTACTTTAGTTTCTGAAATTTGGTTTTATGATTACGACAACCTGTCTATTTTTTATTCTTAAAATATTAATTTATACTAAAAAAGTGTACAATCAAATTAACATCAGTTAAAAAGTTAAGGACTTTTCAATTGTATGTTTATGAATTTTTGGCGAATCTGTAATTCTTACATTGTTTAAATTCTGTACTTACATGTATATTCTGACAATCTTCCATTAAATGTTGCCAAAAAGAGAGCGACAAAAACTATATCACAATATCATATGTTCTGATTTATCAAGGAATTTGATAGTTAAATGCTTAGTTACCGTGTTTCTATAACATGCTTTTATTTTCTCTATTCGAAATTAGTGAACTTTTAACTTTTAACTGAATTAATAATAAAAGTGGTATCGTTGATCATATCATTTTCAAATAAACACAATAACAATGAATAATGTCATGTTTTTTGACATTTTTAATCTCTTATATCTGTTTGTTTTGTTCATATATCATTGCCAATATAATGGATTTTTTTGCAACTATCATACAACTGAGCGGTTTAGCTAGCTATAAAACCAGGTTTAATCCACCATTTTCTACATAAGGAAATTCCTGTACCAAGTCAGGAACATGACAGTTGATATCCATTCGATTGTTGTGTTTGAGCTTTTGATTTTGCCTTCTGATTACGGACTTTCCGTTTTGAATTTTCCTCCGAGTTCGGGAATTTTTGGTATTTTACTTTTCACTAGACATGCTAGTGTGTATCTGTTTTTACATTCGCATATTCAATTTATAAGACAGGAGTATATTTCAATTCGTTATTATATTATATTTTGAAATGGAAAATGCATTGACAAATCGTCCTTTCCGGAACCTAAATTTGGTTTCATGAAATTCTCTTTAGGAAGATATAAGTATACAGTTTCAATCAATCTCACCTTAATGTAACTTGTTCCTTGCCTTTCAAAACAAAAACATAAAAAGAAAAGTTCATTGGATCGTTGAATATAGGTTGCACTATGTAAATGTTATCAGTATAAATAAACATAAATAGCGACCGCCTTGAATTCTAAGGAAGACCCGAATTGAAGGGAAGGGTAGTACAGAATGTTAGTATAAGTTTAAACTTTTAAAGGTTCGGGGCATATAAATGTTGAAAATATGCCGCACAGCCCTATTTTTTTTACATTTGAAAACAATTGTGGTGCATATGAGCATAAAATACCGTTATATTAGTTGTTCCTTGTGTTTTGAGCCAACCATTTTTAAGTGATTTGTACACATTGTTCTGATGATGTGATAACACTGTTCAATCGCTTTTGAATGTAAGGGGAATGTTGAGACCTGACAGAAAGAATTAGTCCTGCTGCATTATATGTGTGTCGCCTGTCCAATGACAAGACCCTTGAAGTCAGTAGTTGTCAATGGTTGCTGACTGTCATATTTGTTTTTCATCTATTTGATTGTCATAAATCAAGTTGCTTACATCCACATCATTTGTCTCATTTGCTATAATGACAAACGATCAAACACATTTCAGTAAGGAACAAACATTGAGGGTATAGCCAAATACTTAGACAACAATGAACCAGAATACTTTTAGTTAAAGCGTTTGATTACATACCACACATCTGCCTTGAAAAGATTTGGGATCAACACAGAAAGCATCGACTGCCATGTACGCATAACTCGCCAGCATGTCACGATTTGAAAAAGAACACAATCGGTAAATTAACGGGCTACAACAGGTATTCTGGAGTCGAAATATTTAACACTACGAAAATATGGCGCTGTTAATTTTTAAGGTCAACTTTAAAAAAATTGTTTTTAAAAGATTAAAATGGTGGAAAGAAAAACAGCCTACATGTATTATATTAAGTATCAATATAGTAGAGAAACTTGATAACTATATATATATAGCTAACATCGATGACTAAAATTTACCGCTTTAGAAACAAAACATAAAATAAGAAGTCTTTGTTTGTTTCATATAGCCTAAATTTGGTATACGTACTGCAAGTCTTAAAACGAACAAACAAGATCATGAATTTGCCACAAACCGTAAAGATAAAACACACAATAAGGCAACGAATTGTAGAGTAGTAGAATTTGGAGATATGTCTTAAACATATTAATCTTATTTTGCCATTTTTTGGAAAATTCAAACATTACATTACCAACAGCACTGTTTGACGCAAATCCAAGAACATATACTAGCATATACCTTAAAATCCGAAATAACCGACATCAGTCCGTTTTCCGTTTATCAATCTTTTCGTCTTGTTTCCGATGTTTTAGGTACACAGTTGCCTTTAGTAGGTATGATAAAAAGTGGACTTTGCTTTATCTTTATCTGTTTTGAATCTTCCAATTTAAATTCTGGATTAGTTATTTGGGGTTTTAACAACCTTTATTCTTCTATTGTAAACTGTAATGGGATTAACTTTGAGTGATCTTTGTACATCATAAAAAATGTATATAATTATCATTTGTTTGATTTTCATATGTTCAAATGCGTTTTATTAAAAGACAAACCACGCGTCATTAGTTTACTTTGGTAAAGAAGTAAGCGATACTATATAATTGATATCATTGAAACGACCTTATTATACTCGTACTACCTAAACTTCCTGGTTTGAATTGAAAAAAGTGGGAACAATATCTTTCCTTTACATCTCTCAATAAAAAATTAACAAACAAAAAAAGCACAACAAATGTATTCACATTATTCTAAATGTTTTCTAAATATAATTACTTATAAATTATACGTCGTTTCATCCTTTAGCAAGACTTGCGCTTTATATCAAAACTAAATAATTGAAACAAAAATCATTCGACCAAAATTCTGCCCTTCACATTTTATCAGTTCATTGTTTGTGTAATTCAAATATACGGTTTAGTATATTATACATATAATATGGGTTTTGGTTAAATCGTGTAACACGAACATGATTGGTTATTTTATTTCTAAGATTTGATACTTTCTTATTATAGTGTTACCATTCGCTTAGCACATTAAAAACACTATGTCAAAGTCCGTGTTATATCATGTTTCTGTACAGTTAAAGATCAATTTGTGGTATAAGGGAAATGACAGTATCTCAAACGTGTCACATAATAACGTGTATTAGCATATGGTAGTATGAAGAGGACTATAGATTTTACTCTTACACATAAAACCCGTATGCTAGGTAAAAAAGCAGCAAATACAAATTTCAAGCCTTTGTTTAAATCAGAAAACTGGAAAAATCTGTAATTTGCAATTCTTTTTTTATCAGTCTTACCCAAGATTTATCTTCATCATTTAAGCAACGGCTACTACGTATCCATTATTTATATAACCTATATAATATTGATTACTCAGCCAAATTCACCAACGACATGTTCACTATAATCAATTGGTTTGGAAAACTTTTGGGACTAGGTGTGTCAAAACATTACATCGAATATTTTTCGCTGGTTAAAATCGCAATCCTATCCTATTTTACTTTACCGTCTCAACAAAATTTAAATCCAATAAAAACAGGTACAAATGTATTAACACTTTAGCCAAAGGAACACGACGAACAGGACAAATAACAATAACAAAATACTACACATATTTAGCAACACAAGACACCTGGGATTAAGTGGTATGTCAGCAATAGGTAATCAGTTCCTGGTCCACATGCGGTACCTGTCATGGTACTAATTTCAAATAGAAATACGACGATGATCTATCAATTCGATAATCAAGAAAAAAAAAAAACATGTAAAAATCAAATGCATGATATGTTGTATTTATACAGATTTGATTGAGGTTTTGTTTTGCACTTAAATATTGTTTGACTTTTTTCATTGAAGCTTGTAATCTGTGTTACAATCCTCGACCGATCTAACATTTTTGTGTAACTACCACAGATTATTTTTGGGAGACTTATCGATTAACAACTTTGAAAGAAACACAAGGATTTTTTTGTTAATCTGAAAATAAAAACTTTCGGTCACTTAAATCAAAATGAGTAACCTTTATTTGAAAGCAATATACAATTATCAGAATAAACCACCAATAATGAAATATTAATATTTATTATTAAGTACACGTTTTAATACTGTTTCAAAATAAATCAATAAAATATAAACTTAAATCTATAAATAAAAAAAAAACTTGTAAAACAACAAAAATGTCTAACTACAGCTGTATGAATAAATGAATAAAAAGATATTATAAGTTATCTACGTTCATATCCGTAGATATGGATATTTTAACACCCTGAAGTATCCAAGTACATGGTACTGAAGGGTGTTAAAATATCCATATCTACGGATATGAACGTAGATAACGAATTTATCCCCGGTCTTAGTCCAAATCTTGCGATTTTTGGAGAAATTCAACCACAAAATGTAACGTGAAAGCAACGTTTTTTTTTCATTTCTTAAAAATCTTTTATTGTAATTTGGGAATTTGACACATGTTTAACGGGTTGTAGGGTACTACCTTTGGTAGAACTCTACAAGTAGTCAAAAATAAGACGTTTTTAATCCAGAGACAGAGAAACGGGAATGGGTCAAATTTGGCGCTCAATGTTGTGAGAGTTACATCATAGACGATGTGACGTCGACGTGGGTCCATTGCCTACATAGGTCAGTAGTACCATTCATTGACAATGTGGCAGCCAACTAATGCATTTACTAAAAAGAGTGCAAATGATCAACATAATAAGATAAAATAGTTAGTTGATTAAACATTTAATTACAGACATCATAGATAATCTACAGAATTCGATATTTCACAAGGAACAACCATGGAACTAAGGAAAACGCGCGTGTTGTTTCCCGTTGTAATTGGTAGCAACTTCCGTGTATATGGGTTAGCAACACTCAGGGGCTATGGGTTTTGTAACGACGTGCATTAACCAATCAAAATCCTAGAAATATACTTAGCCGGGGATAAGGTTCATTGAATCTGTATCCCAACTCCACAAATATAAAACACAACAAAAAACAAGTGGAGGTAAAAATCTCTAATCAGCCATTTTTAACATTTTTTTTACTTTTACCTTTTTGCATTTGTATCATAAAAAGTTAAATCACAAAAATACTGAACTCCGAGGAAAATTCATTTGTTACAACTTGAATTAACTAAAAAATATTATCTACAACTTGTTTGTTTCATTTTACTACCCTATGTTCAAACATTGCTGTCGGTGTTAGTACTGGACGCTTGAGAGTCATTCGTGGGCGCCGGACCAATTTTACTTCTCTTTATTTTGTCTATAACGTTTAATAATTTTGGTTCTGGTTTATTCTGTTTCTTCAAAAAAGATTGCCATTTGTCTGTTACTTTCTTCTGCATTGACAAATTCTTTAAGTAAAGCGATCCTTTGATCATTGATCGTAGTTTCGGTTGATTTTTCATCATCAAATCTTTAAAATTCTTATAATGCTTTTCCTTAGCTTTGATAACAGATCTATTCATGTCCGTGTCCGTTCCGTCTTCGGGTTGATCCCTGTTCCGTTCTACAGCATCCGCTACAATTTTCTTTAATATTTCAGCACTATATTCATCTTCTGTGTTACGTAAGTCAGTATTGGCAGTGATATGAACAAGCGTGGAAAATCTATGGTACAGCATACATAAGAACTGTATTAAAAGAAGAATTCCAAATACTGCACTGAATAATATTGCTATAGGAACAATCGAAATATTTTCGCCACCGCAGTCAAATCCAGCTGTTAGAGAGTTTTTGAAAGCGTTTACTTGTGTAAGCCCAAACATTACTGTTACAAGAATGGCATTCAAAAGATAAACAAATAAGCAAACGCTATTCCTTAATTCAACTAATTCGGTTTTCAGTTTTTTCTCTCGTGCAATCGTAAACCGATCCATCTTATCATGTGGTTTTAAATAACTCTCTATCTTTTCCTCCCAAAATGTTGTTTCCTTTTTGCTTATATTCGGGACACTTTCATCGACGGTGAAACGAGTCATATCTTTATCTTGACTGTCATCGTCTTCAACATCTATCTTCTCTTGCCTTTCATCATTTATAGTTGACTTTTCATTGTTGGCTTCAACTTCTATTCCATATTGTAAAAGATTAGAAAAACATGTATTAATACAGCGTTACATCATTTTAAACTTGTTTCGTGGTAACTCTCATGTTATGTTGCAAAAGGAAAGATATGCACAAAACAATAGTAGATTCAAACAGATTAGAACCATAAAAAAAATTCAATCAACTATTATATCTTACCAATAGTACTTATATGTCTAAATAATTTCATAAGTTTTGTGTCGGGGCCTATTATAGCCGACTATACGGCATTGGGTTTTCTCATTGTTGAAGTCCTTCACGTTGCCTTTAATTGCTTATATCCACTCCATTTGAATTTTAGTAGATAGTTTTCTTATGAGGCAATAATACCACATCTCCATATATTTATATTGTGGCACAATTTTTGTGATGATTTATTTGTGGAAAATATATTTTTACGATCGATATTGATTTAAGATGTATTGTTCGGTTTATTTATACATCTGTTATACATACTTTGATCTTGGTCTTTATTCGAACGTTTATCTGTTGTGTGATCTTTCGAAGTAGACATTGCACAACTGTAAAATATAAGATATGCCTTAACAATCTTAATCTGTAAAATAACCGGGTTTGTAATTCGTGTAGCTCAGTTTTATGTTTTTGCTCTGTTCTTTGTCTTTTTTTTCTGCTTCAATTAAATGTTACATTTATGAATGCACGTGTACTCCTTTAAAACGTTACAACAATCCAAAGCAACATTCTGTATAAACATATTCCAAGTAAGGAGCCTGTAACTCAGTGTTATTTTTCACTAAAATGATCTGTAAGTGAAACGTTCTTGATATCTTGCCACCAGCAAAACATAGCGTACCTTACTATTCAAAGTATAGTTGTACCAAACAAATGTGTTTGTTAACTTAACGGAAAATATATAATTTACTTTGAAAAAATTACTTGCTCCTGTTTAGTGAAATAAAGAAGCCGACAAAATGTTATTAAGATAAAGGAAGAAGTGGCATTAGTGCCAATGAGACAGCTCTCCATCCAAGTCACAATTTGTAAAAAGTAAACCATTATACGTCAAAGTACAGCCTTCAACACGGAGTCTTGGTTCACACCGAACAGCAATCTATAAAAGTTTGTATATTTGGCTAACAACGGTATTGAGCAGAACAAGCAAACGATTATCTAACAAGCTAGGTTTTATGATTCAAAAATCACAAAATTTTGACGAGATCATTGTCATCTACGAGGAAAAACATCAAAATAAAAGTATGGACTTACCAAACAAACTTTCCTATTGAACAAAGATGTTCCGTGGCCTCTTTCTCATTTATCTTCTCCGTTTTTGACTTATTGTCGGACTCCTTTTTTGTGTTGGTATCTCTTGTACCCCATGATGTGACATGAAGATTACCAATTGAATATAAAAACATCAACATAGACATTGAGGGTATAGCCAAAAAATAAAGTATTCCAGGGAGTAAGCAGAGGATCTCCTACAACGATTAACAAAAGTATACAGTCGTTTGTAAGTAAAATCAACGATTGGGATACCGTGAAACGAAAGTGTGAATCGGTTAAAAACAATTAATGGAGTAGTTTTATTACATTCTCCATGTCAGAAATCAGTGTAGCTAGTGAATTTTGTTTACATCCTTACCACATGTACAGTTTCATAATCAATGATTGATCTTTGTCATCAGAATTTGATCAGGTGACTACTAAAAGCAGACAAAATGTCTATCACACTGTGTAACATCATGTAAACGTTTGTTTCAACGTTTTAATGCAATCCTGGATCTCAAATGTTTATATTTGAGCGCTCTTGATGAAGACAAATCATGAAAAGAGCTTAGATGAACGAAATTTAACATAATTATGTAAATTTGTTGTATGATAACTTGCAATATATTTATCATACCAAACATGTACCAACATTATCAAGTCAGAAATTTAATAGTTCTTATTCAGTCGTTTCCTTGGTTTATATAGTGGAGTGTTTGGTTTTGTCATTTTTTACTGACTCCCCAATTTTGTATTAAACCTTGTGTGAAAATAACTACTTTGGCACGCCATGTTATTGTTTTGTTTTAAATTTATGCTTGTATAATAATAATTTTGGCAATATAATGATTAATTGTTGGAATGGTTTTTCGCCCGTATGTTTTACACTCGGTCATATTTTTTATGATATACAGATGCAGATTTCAAACATAGAGCACTAGTGTACTGCAAAACCGTTAAGTATTCTCAAATATTTCGTTTTTTAAAAGTTTTATTATAACTAAATTAATTCTAAAAACGGTACATGGTAGGCTTATAACGTTCCGTCCATAAAATAAGTCCTGAAAGTTGATTAGAATGTTACCTTAGGATGAAGAATAGCGGAAATTACAAAAACTCCAGCCACAAACATTATGAAAATAGTGGTCGTTGAGCATAAACCCTCAACTATGGCGTCTCGCACAACTCCGATCATAACAACAACCATGACAATAACGTATATGCAAGATAAAATGGCTGCCATTTGCAACTGAAAAATATTAAAGTAGTTTAAACCGATGTTATATTAATGTCATATTTTAGTGCGAGTCCAAGTGAAACCGACTAAAATCAAAACATGTAAGACAGGTTTCAACAGGCTTAGGGTTTGTTGAGCATAACTTTCTTCAAAATTATGTTAACATTTCTCTTTTTTTCTTTTAACAGAGCATTCAGTATAATACACATTAAAAAGAAAGAAATGCTGCTCTTCGCGTGCAACACAAGACAAACATTTAAATTATAACCTATTATCGCTAGTATAGACATTTGGTCATAAACTAAAGACAAATTGAATTTCTTGAAAATACTGAAATCGACATTATTATTTTGTAAAATCCCTCTGCTTTATATTACTAGGATGAGTTATGTGTAATGATATTACTTATAGATCTAGTGAAGCGGTAATCCTGTGAGAATCAACTGTATTTGACAAACCATTTCAATTGTTTATATGAATCAAACTTAACACTTAAAATGTTTTCTATATGTTGATTGCAGTCTTTAGTTTTGTTTACTATTGTTTGTCTGTTGGTCTTTTTTTTAACGTAAGCCTATTTTTGGTTTATAAGTTTGAATGTATCTTAAATATCTTTCGCCCTTTTTTTTTTTATATTTAACATCAAAAATAAATGAAGCCACATATTAAGATTTGATTGTTGTAACTCGCAGATTGCAAAAAACATTAATGACAACGGGTCCGTCCATAGTTCCTCTATAACATCATCGAATGGGTTTTGCACTTGTTTTTGTAAAGCGTCAAGCACCAAGTGTGTAAAACACGACCTATGGTTAATAAGAGAACTGATTACCCGAACAAAGCAATTGAGTAAAAGATAAAAAGTTTTGATTTGTTCGACCTTTTGATTTTGCCATTTAATAAGGGACTTTCAGTTTTTAATTTTCTTTCGAATTCGGTATTTGTTTTATTTTTACATTTTCAGTTATACCTATCGCTTTTGCATTTAACACATCAAACCTTTTATGGCCATAGCCTTAAAATTAACTACGCGAAACAGAATTTTCATTTTGTTTTTAATAAAAGCCGAAATAAACATAATATTAGGTGTTATGCTAAATACAGCAAACATACACACCTGCCGTTCAGTTGAGGTATACAAACACATTAATATGAACGCTACTACTGGAATTAGGTTCAAAATCAGTGCCAACCATGGTGGAATGCTATCAAATCCAACAATAAGAGCTCCTAATATTATCATAAATATTGTTCCAGGAGTGAGAACGGTTGAAACAAACAAAAACACCTGATAGACAATGTACAGGAAGGATATATTTTCGTTGTTCTTCGTAACATTTCTCCAATCTTGAATTATTTCTAAAATATTGGCCATAGTTGAAGGAGTCCAGCGTCTACGTTGGTTGTAGAACTCATAAAAAGATTCTGGAGCAAATGTGTATGAATCTGATTCTGCGCAATATTCAATTTTCCATCCCTTTTGAAGAAGCAAAGTGCATAACCACCGATCTTCGCCTGTCAAATAAAGGTTTAACCACGTGTAGTGTGCAAATGTTTCTAGTCTATAGCCATATGAGTAATAATATTTGAATATATATATTAATACATGTTTCATAAGATTACAGTAGTATATTAAATAATAAAATATGTGCATCTGGTTACAATTTGATTGGCATATAACTGATTCATCAATCTATAATTTCCTTATGCTGAATGATCTACAACAAAGTTTAACTAAAACTGAACGATTTTTGTTAAGAAATGTGAAAAAGCAAAGAAAAATGTCCGTACAAATGAACGCCTTCTGGCGCTAGTGTATTCATGGACAGTCAAGTAGCAGTAAAGGCTATCTTTCACAGCGATTGAAAATGAAACATATGGACATTCCAGATGAATTCAGCAGCCATGCAAGCTGATTGGTGCAAAAGTTGTTAGAAAGTCATAAAATTTTTATAATGAGACTAGTTGTAGAATTGGATTAGCATTGGAACATTTCGAATGTTTCGAATTAACAAAGGATACATTTGACCATTTACAATGCGTTATTTTTTTACGATTACATATAGGAAAATTATTACAGTATTTACCTTGATCATATTGCAAACAATGCCTTGCCTCTTGTGCAACTGAGGTATATGTCTCAAGGACTTCGTGTTGTAATATTGCAGAACCACGAAACAAACTGAAACACCCAGGACTACATAAGACACAGCCAATCACGTGTTCAGTTGCTTTCTGAAGCCAATGACTTATAGCATATTCAAACTGTTGATACCAAACCATTGGACCTGTTTAAGAAACAAAATCGCACGTAAATTCAATTGATATTTGATAGATAGATATATATTTGACGATGAGCAACGATGTTTTTAATCATATAAACGAATGCAGAAAAAGGTTTCATGGTGTTATTTTTTTAAAAGTAATTGCATTTGCAATCATTAAATTGGACTGCGTATATATGACATGCTTTAACATACTTCTTTGCTATATACCTCGATATAAAAGAACCTTCACAGTATTTGAAAAAAAAAAAAAAAAACTGCTTCTAAGTGAAATCATTGTTGACATCAGAATGTGTAAACCTTAAACGACCTATATTTCTAAATGCGCATTAAACTGGCACGAAGGCATTGATACGTGTATGTCTCAGATCAACTTGTGGTCTTAACTTAGTGTTTACTAAAGTCAAAATTTCAAGTACGTTTTAAATACATCAATGCAATGAAAAATATTTATCAATTTCATGTTTACTCTTCTTTGAATTAAGCGGCAATATATTCTTAAGACAAATTTTTAAGAATTAAGAAAACAAGATTATGGTTTTATAGTCTTTCATATCTATAAAACACTTCTTATATTTGCTTGCTAAATAGACCATTATAAGAACCATTTTGAAAAAATGAAGGATAATAAATTGAGAATGGGGATGCATTTCATTACGACAAAGGTCGTCATTTGTAACTTAACATGAAGATTATCTTAATTCAGCGATTTAGCTCTGAATGATGTTAGAAGAAAAGACAAATAATTATTCTAAAAAATACAGACCATTTCCAATGGGATGAATTCTTCCACATGCTGCCCCTACTTTGTCGTTCTTTTCCATTCGTCTCATTAAACTTAGAACAGCCTCTGGTTGGAAGTCAACATCTCCGTCAAGTGCCAGTAGGAATGTATTTTCAGCGGCCTCCTGTATTGCTTTCTTTTTTTCCTTTTTCTTTAATCCTTTACTTTTGAATCTACGTTTAATTTTCCATTTTAGAATAAACAGCATGTACATCACCTGCAATGCAAAGTTAATCAGTCTTCATTGTCTTTTAACATTAATGACACTTATTTTTTCACTGCACAAAATCGGATTCCTTAATGAGTATTCCATTGGTGATAGGTGGTCGATAAAAACTGTTCAATTGGATGGTATATTTTCACATTAACTTTGCTTTAATCGGTAATTTGTACATTTTCCTTCTGATCTTACTGCCAAATTTTTTTTTATATCATGGAGAGAACTTGTTTCTCGAAAATATTAGACAATGACGTCACTTACCAGTCTAGGAACGTCACGTGTTCATCAATGAAATGCACGCAACGTCATTCATACACTCGAACAATCACCCGACGTTTTGTACGCGTAAAAGTAGTTTTACTATCAGTTTCATTTTCATTGTCCGTTTATTTTCGACATATGAGTTTGAATGTCCCTTTGGTATTTTTCGCCCCTCTTTGTTGAGGAGGGGGAAACATATTTTTGTTTGGCATGATGAATGTTATTGAAAACCATGTTTAGTTTATAAATAATTTGTGAATATCTATACATTTAGATGGGTTTAAGATAGCATGAATGTAAGAAAAACGAAATGATTTAAACAGGCACATATCTTTTCGTAACGGTTACTCTCAAGAAGAATGTTAGAATTTGATTTATATGCTCCAACCAATAAGCACTTTCAAATTGCAGCACATTCAACATTCAACATACTGGTGTTGGTAGGGATTCGTACTTTATATCGATATAAACTACAGTAACCTATTTAGAAAAGGATGTGCTTTGACCACTGCCAGCACAATCACCAATATAAGTTTGCATTAGTCTTTTGATTTTAAAAGTTTTGTTTTTTTTAATAGGAGAGAAGAAAACAAGGAATTCAGTCAAAAGCTTTCGTAGAGGAAAAATAAACATGTTTGTGGCCAAAAGAAAGGAAATATTTGAAAAATAACAGTTGAACAATCAATACAACCATGTTAAAAGGAAGGTACTTTCACGAATGAGCAATAATAACTTTTCTAAAACCAGATGTGTTTTGAGTAAGGCTTGCAGTATTTCGACCATTTTATTTAAACATTTCACAGACAACAGGTTTTTAATAATGTTTTTGTCACCAGCTATTTCTTACATATATCCACTTCGGTTATATATTACTGATTCAAGTATGATGCCAAACTGTGTCATAGTTTTAAATTTTTTACAAATACAAGTACCTGACTCCAACGCTTCTTGTTTCGAATTTTTGTATTGTCTTTTAAATGTACAAACAATTTATTCTCTCCAGGAAGTGTCCATTCAATTCTAGAACCATAAGGAGTTCTTAGCATACCGCCATCTGGTAATTCAATTTGTTTCTCATAAAATTCCCTATGTAAAAAAAAATATATAACACCTTGTATTTTGGATAATTCTGGTTTATACAATTGTTTTGAAGAGTTTTTCAAGCGTTTTGTGATTCACGTCCGTTATTTGGAGAAAAAATGCTTTCCGAGTGTTTGAACAAAAGGGAAACTGAGCGTTAAGTTTACGAATACTTCATCAGTGACGCTCAAATAAAATTTATTTGAAAGACCAAATCATGCCAATCAAGTACAACTTTTAAAAGCGTTAAGGACCCAGAATTTCAAGGAGACACCCGTTAAAATGTCGTACTGCAATACCTACAATACTAGGCTATATAAATGACGCTTAAAATGTTTGTGAATTTTTAGGTGCTGGTTTATGTTGTTTTATGTATCCGTTTTTATTCTGTAGTTAGTCACCACTTCGGTGTTATCATGTATATCTATTATAAAGTCATTTTTATAAATTTACTGTTTGCAAAAGTATGAATTATTCTAAATAATAAGGATGTTCTTATCCCAGACAGAAAACCTTAGCCGTATTAGGTTCAACTTTTTGGAACTTTTGGTCCTCAATGCTCTTCAACTTTGTACTTGTTTTGGCTTTCGAACTTTTTTTATCTGAGCGTCACTGGTTAGTCTTGTGTGGCCGAAACGCGCGTCTTGCGTATTAAATTTTAAACCAGGTACCTTTTGTTAGCTATTATTCGTATGTTTCTCTGTCCTATATGTTCTCCTATGTATTTGTATTGTAGTCCTGTCATGTAATGTTGGCATTTTAATGTTATATTTAACATTGCTATAAAAGCGGGAGGTTTGGCTAGCCACAAAACCAGATTCAACCCACCATTTTTTTCTTAAAAATGTCCTGTACCAAGTCAGGAAAATGGCAATTGTTATCGTATAGTTTGTTTCTGTGTGTGCTGCATTGTTGTTTGATGTTTGTTCACTTCAGTGTTTCTGTTGTTTCGTTGTCCAAATGTACTATATTGTATTGTTTATTTGCGTAATTCTCTGTCCGTAATGTTGTACTGTATTCATGTCATGTAATGGTGTCATTGTAGTGTTATATTTAACAATGCCATAAAAGTGCGAGGTTTTGCAAGCAACAAAACCAGGTTCAACCCTCCATTTTTTTCTTAAAATGTCCTGTACCAAGTCAGGAAAATGGCCATTGTTATATTATAGTTCGTTTTTGTGTGTGTTACATTTTAATGTTGTGTTTCTGTTGTGTCGTAGTTCTCCTCTTATATTTGATGTGTTTCCCTCAGTTTTAGCTTGTAACCCGGATTTGTTTTTTCTCAATCGATTTATGAATTTCGAACAGGGGTATACTACTGTTGCCTTTAATTGTACAGATCTTTTGGTATCTAAGTTGGTTAAAACATATTCAAAACTACTTCAACAACTTGTTATGCTTTGATGAAGTTGAACAGTTCTGTAACTACATTTTTTGTAGACGTGAACTAGGGTTGATATACAAACAGGAGTTTTGATATTAGTTTGTAAAAGAAGACTTTAGTGTTTTCAATTCTGTTTTGTTTTTCTTGTGTTTATAATCGATTGTTTCGTCTAATATTGTTTATTATTTTAGTCCGAATTATTGGATAAAAACGGTTATGAACAAAGTTATCATTTAAAAATTGAAATACAGGCTTCAAGGACCCTGAATATTTCATCTGGTGTATTTACCTTGTATTGCTGAAGATGATATTATATAGTATTGTTTCGCTTTAAATCAAGCAGTGATACTTGACTCTGTATATGGTACTAGGCGAACAATTGAACAATTGTTTTTGTGGTGGGACACTTTTCAATACCTCGATGGATGTACTTATGTTGTATATATATACAAAACAATTAAGCTACATGTATATACAGACACGTGGTGATATTAATGACAAATAAGTCATTGCCAAATGAAGGCTGTCAGAGATCGGCACAGATGATCCCAATAGAAAGATAAAAACATTCCTATCACTATTGCGTTTAGAAAATCATTTTTTGAATGTCAATTGTTTTCTTTATCCAACAAGGTTACATAGCATCTGCAATTTACACGCTATTAATCAAATTTATATTTGATATGTTATCATTGCAAGATATTGTGTGATATTATGAAGACCAAAATATGAATTGGACCATTGCCTAGATGAAAATGAAGATCTAATCTCTTTCTACTAGACAAAGGAATTACATTAGGGTTTTTCATAATCAAATCGTTTACGTATTTTATGTTTTCATGTTTGTAACAAACAAGGAAATGATCTGACTGTGTAAAGGTGTTTATATTTAACATACCTAGTAGCATCGTGTAATTCCTGAATAAAGGTTTGTACATATGAATTCATTACTTTCTTTGTGTCGTCTTTACCTTTCTTTGGTAGAAATGCATCATCAAAAAACACATGAGCTTAAAAATCAAAAGAAGATCTTAAACGGTTAAAATATTTGCGGATATTATATTTAGATTTGTATAAATACCTTATTATTTGCAAGGTATGAGTAAGGTAGTGTTAAGTAATGGTTACCAATTTAATATACGGCTCTTAAATATCTGTGTCGCAGATGACCATGGTTATTTCCAATTCATCGAAACAATAACCCTGTCTTCTTTTATTCGATTGTAACTTTACCAATTGTGGCTAACCATCGAAGTGTACTTGCATGGGCCAAATGTAGAGCCAGAACTAATTACTTTTTAAAAACACTTGAGTTCATCCCTGGTGTGTGATGGGGGCTCTGTTGCTAAATCTTTTTTTGTTTCAGTCGAATTATTTTCTCTCGTCGTTTTGAATTTCACTTTATTGTGTTTTTTTTTTTTTTTTCGTTCTTGAGTTTCTTGATAATGTTTTGTGTTCGTGGTATGATTTCCAATGAGACAACTATCCACTAGATTTCAAATGACGAAAGTACAAGCAATACTAGGTGATATCACGGAAACTCATATAACGAAATATTATTGACGCAATGAATTATTTATAGTTCCGTTTCTCCTACAGACACATACAGTCTCGCTCTATATAACATGAGATTCTCTCAGATTTAATATTTTCCGTGATTCATGTGTTGTGAAAGGGACTAATGAGATCGAAAATTAGTATTATACTGTTGCCTGTGAATAGTTTTAGAAAACTTGGAACTTAACTTGTAGTTCCACATATGGTTTAATATGATGAATTCGTTGCAACATATTGCACACATATTGGCTGATATTAGAGTGAATAAAAAAACGTATTTTGCATTGTAATGATGAACATTCTACGACATCATTTTCTTTTCATTATTTAGTACTCTATTACTCGTAAAGAATTTAAAGGTTGAATTTAGGAATAAATATGGTCGCATGGACTTCTCTTATCCAACAATAATCAATTCCTAATTGATACAGCATTCCAATTTTTTTTATTCGAACCCAAGTGAAACATTTTGACGAACAGGCGTCTGACGTACAAAACTATGAACATACACAACCACCATGTCGAGGCTATCACCAGCTTAGTAGCCAGCACCTCTGTGTTCATGATATATTCAATAGTATTGATACAACTATTTTCTGTAAATTTACTGGTGATAAAATGTTGAATTATACAAAATATCGTGGGTCAATAGTAAAATATTTTAGTGTGAAACGGTCTTTTTTTTTTTATTTTACTGTCATCTGAATAGTCTAAACAACAAATTACTAGGTCATGTGTGTTGATTCAGTTAATTTTAGACCTTTCCCCTTATGGTAAGTTCAGTACTGTTCAGACAGTTTGCTTGCAGTCACTTCAGTGCTATTCAGCAGTTTTTCACACAATATAGTAAGTTGTCGGTATGTACTTGCATGGGCCAAGTACTGGTTAATAAAAACTGCTGCATAGTCTGAACATAGACTTACCAGATCTTTCTTGACTGCGCGGGATGTATAAAAGAGACGCCATTTGTGGATATATTAGGAATGTTAAATCTGATGCCTCTCGGGTAAAAAGAACCACGCTCTCTGAACGTTAAGAACCATTGCAACAACTTCATGAGGGCTCGTACCTTTCCAACATACCCTCATTTTCTAGTGGTATTCCAACTATCCCGCCCATCATCTGTCATCCTGGTTTTTTTTGTATCTATTATTTTTTATTTTTAGTATTAATAGTTACCAATAATTCCAAGGGATTTCATTAGCAAACTTCTTATACATCTATATTATTACGTGTTAGTTTTAAGTTACAGAGTAATTCTACACACATGTATACTGTGTGGGGGTCTACTGACTGAGATACAAGAAAGCGTAACTTTGACCGTGTTTTGATAAGCTTTTAGTTTCAGATTTTTACAAAGCAAACAATTGTTAAGTAAATTATATTCATCATCTTCAGTTTTATATCCTATTACATGATTTTTAAGACAAAAAACATGTTGACCAATATTAAAATACATAAATATTTTGTGTAGTAATGTCCGATATTTTTTAATCCATGTGCATTCAAAGAAGAAATGGTTATAACTATCAGATTTGAAACATAGCTCACCGTTTTCATTATCAACTACTTTCCAATGATACAGATTATGGTTGATAGCTAAAAAAGTTTCCATCTAAACATTTTCAATCTATTATCTTTTAAAAAAAGAAAGGTAAAAGATTGATTTCTTTTTATAAAATAAATAACATTTTCGCATGATAGTTGGTTTATCCATGAGCAAAAACCTAACGGAAAAACATAAACCATTAGAAACTCTTTATAAGACCTGAATATAATATTATAAATTTCTTTAAACTAAAGTTTATCTAAATTGTAATACAACCCATCACAAACCTTCTTAATGTCTTGTGTTATGTTAATTTTAGTACGTTTTGATATATTACTCTTTTAATTTTTTGGACCAACTTTTGTGTAAGGCTTCTCGAAGAGTACATAGTTCAGCGATCCAGTTTTGTTTCTTTTTCAGTTAAGGTAATGTAGGTAATTTGTTTGGGTTTTCTAATGACTTATGCGAATTGAGATTCATTTTAGACACGTTAGATTTCACATTATTATCCCCAAACTCCCTGAAGTAATAGATTGGTATGATTTTCCAGTTAGCACAAGTTTTATCAGTTAATCTTTTAACATAATTTATTTTGATAGCCTGAATGTATGCAATATCTGTCATTTTCAGTCCCCCTTCGGTTAATCTTTTCTTAACACTGAGCGTTTAACTTTCTAACTACCACCCTCCCATAAAAATTTAAATAAGATTTTTTTTTAAAATTGACTTATAGTCTCGCTGCTTAGATTTATCAATAAAGCAATATGTTATATATTGGGAATATAGTGTTTTGATTATATTTATTTACCAATCATACTCAATTTTATTTTCTTCCAATCGTTTAGTATTTTTTTTCTGTTTTTTTAAACTGTTCATCTATATTAAGTGTTTCACATTCTTGTTTGTTAAGGCCGAAATATATACCAAGACTTTTCACTTTATCTTGCCAATTGATATTTCTAAATTAGTCTTTGCAATGTTTTAGTTTACCTAGCCATATACCTTCTGTTTTGTTTCTATTGAGTTTAAGTCTAGAAAAAGATCCAAAAGTTTATATTTAATTTAGAGCATGTCTTATTTCATCTTAAAAAGAGAGTTGTATCATTTCCTAGTTGTGAGAGTTTATTTTTATTTATATCCCTTTCAGATCATTATTATCCCTTTTTCTACAAGCCAGTATTTCGACTGATAAAACAAACAAATAGCGCTTAAAGGACATCCTTGTCTTATTTCCCGTTGAATCCAAAAGGTGTCAGAGATCCAGCCATTATTTAGAATACATCCTCTTATATCATGATATAGTGTTGTGACTCACTTTTGAAAAGACTCAATAAATCCAAATGTTTGCAATGATTCCAGCATTAAGTCCCATTCTTGTTAGTCGAATGTTTAGAAAAGTGTATGAATAGTATAGCTCCATCAATAATAAAGTTTTCAGCATAATGTATAAAATCTTGAATTTGACGTACGTTGAATTCTATATAGCGATTTTTAACATAACCATTTTGTTCTCTGTGTAGGGGTAGATTTCTGTTAAGTCTTTGTGCAAAAGTATCTGTGGTAAGTTTTCCATTTGTATTCAACATAGTTATTGGAGGGAAATTATCTAGGGACACAGGGTAATTTTTTTTGTAATTTTTAAATCAATGATTTTATCCTAGTCATTTGGGTGTCAGATAGAGTTTCTTTATCTTAACATGCGTTAGATAAATACAGTACAATATATTTTAATTTCGGTCAAAATTGTCGATAGAACTCGATTGTTTAACCGTCTTTGTCTGGAGTTTTTGATTTAGTCCTTAACATGCCTGAAATATTTTCCACTAGACGTTATAACAAACAACAACCATCTATTAATGAAAGAATACGAACTCATCTGACCTTTTGGGGACTTTCAAGCACATGGAAAATCTACACTACCTTCTAAGTCGAATGTCTCGACGTCTTCGACAAACTCTTCTTTCAAAAACTTGTTTTTAGCCTGTCGCTGGTCTAACCTATAAAAAAACAAAACGAACAGGGAAAAACTGTTTGATTCAACAAAAATAATATGGAAAAACTATTTGTTCCAACAAAACAAAACGAATGCTGCAACTTGCTACTACATATTGAAAACAAAACAAACAAAAATGAAGAAGGACGATGATTCAATGAACAATTTTAAACTGAAATGAATATACAAAACTTGCACTTACGTTCAGTACTTGTTTATTTTCATTCTTATTGATAACCTTTTTTTAAGAATCGCTGAAAAAGGCATGAGTAATATATCGATGAGTTTTGCTTTCCAAAAGAATGCAGACTGATTAATGCACGTTTCTTGGTGATGTAAGTGTCATTTAACTTTTCTATAAACTGAACTAGACAGATTTAAGATAGTATGATTTTCTTTTTCCACAATTTTTTGTTTAAGTTTCAAGCAACATATTGTAAAAAATATATTGTAAAAATATTGTGTGGATAAATTCGTAGACAAATTACAAAGGCCATATGTTTAAGACTTGTTGTTTTTTTTATTTGTCTCTTTGTTACCACCATGGCATTCATTGTCCGTTTGTTTTCGACTTATGAGTTTGATTATCCATTGAGTATCGTTGACCTCTCATTTTCTAGGTAAATATGCTGTTATCTGCACTAAAGTCCTATTGTATATATATATATAAATAAGTTTACATATAAAATGAATTATTTTCAACAAACTGTGATATAGGGTTCAGGGAATAAATGTGGCACCTTATTCATCCAGCTCTACTTTCATTTTGACTTTATAGAATATTTCCTTGCACTTATTAAGTCAAAGTTTGGTGTCTATATTGGACATGTTGGAAGCATATATCCCCTCAGACGTGACATAAAGGAAAAAGATTTTTTTTTCTCCCAGTAACAATTTAACGATAGGGTTTGTCTTTGTGTAAGAGGCCTTACTAAAACGTCTATCTTTTGCATTAATGTGCGCCTGTTTATATGAATGCTAAGTCACTAAAAATGGATTGTGTTGATTACTGCATGCTCAATTAAAATGGTTTTAAATGAACTTGTCTACTTCCATTCATATGAAGATTATTTCAAAACGAATATCATCTTAAGTGTACTCTGTTTGCTTCATAATTTAATATGTTAAGAGATTATAAATTCATAAATGTATTATACATTTTATAGAAATATTTAATTCAAACATCTGCACAAAATTATTTATTAAATAGTGTGTGATTATTTCAAAAACAAATTAGGCCTTTAAAATGAATAAAACTTTGAACAAAAGTTTTCAATAACTATTAAAAGCAAAAACAACATTTTTAGATAGTCACCTAAATATGTCATTATACTCAATGACAATAAAGACAACGAACATTCGCAAATTCAACTGTCTGTTTTACACTTAAATATTTGATGAAACACTCCTTATCGGTCTTTATATTATCAATAATAGAGTTTATTTTCATCCATTATACACATGATATTTGAGATTCGACAATTTACTTAAATATCGGATAAAAGCCTTGTTCTTGCAATAAAAGATTTCCACATAAATTGCTCCATAATCACTATTTTCTAAAACATAATGTAAATAATGCTATGTATGTTTCTCAATGCAGTCATATATATTGCAATGATCGATTTAACAATACTTAAATCTGAAATATTTCATGCTTCGTTAATATATACAAAGTCTTAAATAGAGCAAAATTAAATGTATTAAAGATTTTTTTTTCACTTTTATGACAAGCAAATTCATGATCCGTAATTGCTTATGATATTTTGTAAGCGATTTCAAACTGCGTATGTAACAAAAAAATTCTTTGTTATTTAGTTTTCTTTTCCACAACTCGAGATAACGCGTCTGAGCTAATACAAATATCAGCGCTATTCGTGTAATAGCCATTTAAAATCATCACATATATTCAAACACTAAGGTAGTTAACAAAAAAAGGATTTCTTAACTCACATGTCATCTATGCAGCTTGTCCACCAACAAACATGTGACATTGTTATCTGTTTAAACTGCTTTCTTTAGTATTAAAACTTTTTACAGTAAATAGTTTAAGCACATCCGTAGTAGGAGCTGGTAAATTCGTTTATCATATACTTAGTAGTAAATACAGATAAATTGTATGTGTAATATGGTCATCGGCAATCGGGCTGTACAAGCCATCCGTGATGATATCGATATCAATCAATCACCGTTTCAAAGGTTTTATCACACCTTGACGTCAAGTCATCGATATCACTTTGCAAAGGCTTTGTCAAACCAATTATCTGTATAACGTCATGTCACATAAAACATCTTCTTGAGGTATATAATAAAGTGTATATATTATGTTTTTTTCAATATCACACACCGAGCTCTTGGGATTATATTGGTGTCTCAGGTTGATAAGGATGTTATATTAAAAAAGCCATATGATAATATCTGTTTATACATCTTGTCAGGGTTCATATACATTTCAGGATCATTTGACAGCCTGGTCTGTGTGTAGAACCTTGTTTTTAACACACTTTTTGGTTTAAAATTTTGTTTATAAATAGAACAGAAGAGTTATTCATTTTTTATTTTACCTTAATAATGATGTAACTAGCTGTTTCATTTCAATTGCATTCTCATGCCACATTGTGGCACAGCAGGCGTAAAGAGTTTTCTTTTTCTTAGTTTCTTTGTCGGGTTTCTGTAAAAAGGCAGAAAGAGATGAAACGGAATTTTTTATATAAACGTCTAGGTATTCCATAGTATTTCGCTTTTCAATGTTCGACGAATGTGGATCAGTTGATATTATTACGCGAGGTAGTTATTTTACTTTTATATGAATCAGCACTAACATGGTACGTCGGAAGAGAGGTCTTCCTTTTATTTTCAATTGTAAGTTATTGCATGCTTGTCATTTTCAACTGGATCACTGATTTTTATTTGTCAATCATGTTTCTTTTCCTATCCTAGTTGTTTTTGGATTTAGAAAGATAGAAGTTCATTATTTAAAGCTCGACATTTTATTGCGTACACATTTTACTAGTTGAACTAGTGTTGTAAAACGTATTCAGTCACATCAAAATAACTTTAACTCATGTATGTTCCCAAACATTAGTTATTTATATTGTGAGGTGGAACTGAGGCCTCTCTTTGCATTAAAATGCACGAACAAGTTCCAAACGAAGCTGTCCTGTTTGTTTGGGGTTTTTTTTTCACTTGAGAACATATTTTCCTACAATTTTTTATGCATTGGTTTAATGTCAAACATTTTTTGGGAGAACGAAACAAAAATACCATAAACTAACAATAACAGATGTAAAACTGTCGGCAACATTTATTAACTTAGAGATTATTCGTTCCGGTCACTAAAAATGGCAATAGTTAAACTGCAACTATGGAGAATACGACATTATATGCCTTTTAAATTCCATTAACCCCGTTATACTAGTACGTGTTTCTGTGACTCTGAACTTCATTGACAGGTTTATCTAGTTAAAATCCCGGTTTTTATGCCACTGTCATACAAGTTAGAGGTTTAGCTAGCTATAAAACCAGCTTTATTCCACCATTTTCTACATAAGAAAATGCCTGTACCAAGTCAAGAATATGAGAGATTTTCATTTTGCTATTTGATTAGGGACTTTCCGTTTTGAGTTTTCCTCGGAGTTCGGTATTTATGTTTTACTTTTTACAGGTTAAGTTTATCTTAATAATTACCTTCTCACGGTGAACAATGTCATATTCATCATCATTTCTTCTGCGATTCAGTATCAAAGATAAATCAGTTAAAAGTCCACAGTAAAAGGGTGAAATCAATATTCTATAAAATGTATAGGAAAGGGTTATATTTGTCAGTATTTAAGAATACATGTTTTAAAGCAGCAATAATTGTATTGATTAGTAGGCTTATAGGACCCTTAGAAAATAAAGAACAACTTTTTTTTAATTTAAATTTGGGTAATCAATCGTTGTTTCATTCTTTACTAAAATATATTGCTTTTTATTTATAGTTTTGAAATATAATTGGTTTTAATACAATATGATGTGTTTACAAAAGTTGCAAAGATGTAACATACGACGCGTGTAAAATTAATGTTTTTCCAGTATCATAGCTACATCTTCGAACTACGTTCAACTGAAATGCAAAGTGATTACTTGCTAGGACAGGCAGATGTATGTATTTGAAGCTTTTTAAGCAGACCTGACAAAAAAATCTTATAATACATAACACATTATTTTGGCTGATCCATCTATTTAATTAAAGTTACACATTTGTTTCAGCTTAGAAATATATTTACCTTGCAGTTTCGCCGTTTTTCCGTCCATTTGATTTCCAAATATGTCTTGCTATTAACAAAAAGGACAAGTACAGCAAAACAAATGCTATGAATAATTCTTTGCACTTTTCAGCTAAACGACTATTGTCCTTGATACACCAGTCAGAAAAAAGTAAATCACAGGAGTCTAATTTCAAAATATCCGGATGATGGATTAAGCCTCCTATTACAATAGTTACGACAGGTGGAATGACAGCCATGGGTAGACTAAAACCAAATCGTTGACAGTTGATTACGCATACGGTTTTTGATGTCTTGTAACACAGGTAGTCACATATAATACAAATAAGTGCTGCTACAAATGGCACATTAGTTTGGCAAATTGGATTAAATCCTATGTGTTGCTCTCCAAAGAAGGTATTTGTCAATGCTATTCCTTTATTAAACAATGCTCTAAAAACCAGCATTGAGTTGTTACCTCGACTAGTAATAATCGTGATAAGTGCAAGAAAAGTTATAAGCATTTTCCAGAGACTGACTATACACGAGGTTTTAGTTCTTCCTATATGTAGTTCTCGTTTTAATTTGCGGAAAAAAGTCGAATCTCCTGTCCCCATTGAAATGAAGTTTTCCCAGTACTTAATTGAGACTAAAAGGACGGACAGCACAAATAAAGCCATCACTGATCCAATTTTAATGTAAATGGTTATAAGAATAATTCCAGCAATCTGCAATGTAAACCCTATAAATGGCAATAAGAAGGATATTTTTGATGTCTCATTACAGAATGAAGTTTTAACAGGCGATCCTACGGTATTATCTAAACTACTTCCCTGTAAATTTCCATCGTTTATTTGCTCATTTGTTTGATTCTGGACCTTGGCATTTTTTTTATTATTCAATGTGTCAGGGAATTTCATACCAATCGCATTGACAATCTTATCACAAAGGTCTAATAAAGGCGGGAAAACGCCAGTTGCTAAATAAACGACAGACGCAGAAGCTGGATCAAACACAGGTAACACAAGAAATCCCAGTATAGAGAGTCCAATTGAATGGAATGTTTCAATTATAATCACCTGAAAAAGATACAGAAATTAGTCAGATAAACGTTTTAAACACATTTGATTAGAATGAAAAAAAAAACAACTTCTGTGAGTCATTTTATCAATGGGGACATAAACAAAAGTAATACACACTGTTAATTTATAAATATAAATTTGATAATTATGTCGCCTAACAAACAAAAATGGTATGCACTTATGACAAAAATTAAATGAGAAATCAGGTGTTATTATAACACAAACACTGCCTTTTCTGTTTAGATTTCCTTCCTATTTTAAGCTCGTTTTTAGAACCATTAACAATACGTATCACTTAACTTAGGAACCCATAATCGTAATCATTTGAAATATTTTTTGACTGCACAATTCCCTTAATACAGTTTACGAAGAAGACAACCTCTACTAATAGACTAAAGGGTGAACATTAAGTTTTTGTTTCATTGGTGTTACTGTTCGTGTAGTAAAAGAAAATGTACAACTGATTTATTAGTCGTCGGGTGATATCACAGTCGAGGAAAAGATGACAGATTGTAACCATAACAAATGAAACGTATCCTATAGCATTAAATTCAATAAAGTTCAGCCAAATCATGATAGTCTCCGTTAAACACTCCACCTTAACAACTGAGAACCATTTGTTCTATAGCTACCTTGGTAAAATATAGAAATAAAAGAGCATTATGCATAGATAAGAAATACTGCTCGCTCTTATAGAAGTCTGTTTTAAAAAAAAATGTCAACTGATCATTTTGAAAAAGTGTTTGCCTTTATAAAAAATACTGATTTATATATTGATTTCTTTACGGAAATAAGTTTTAGATGAACTTAGATTATATGTACTCTGACATATTCTTAACATTTTTGGTGATCAACGTCTGATCTCACAACCCCTAGTGTAAGTCGATTCGCGTTTACTTTGAGAGTTCGGTTTTGTTTGAATTAGCCGTATTGCTATTAATTGAAAAAAGGTTGAAAGATGTTTAACTGATTAAATGTATTATGTTCAATTTCGACAATAACTAAATAAATATATTCCTTTTATTGGAATAGCAATACTTTGTCCCTTGTGCGTAAAATTGTTGAGTTAGATTTTTACTTTTCGTTAGAAAAACCAAGGACGCACCTAATGGACAAGTATTTTTACTTTTGGGAATTACCAGCGGCTCTTTCACAAAAAATCTTAAGAGTACAAATATTTGTTAGTCATACACATTTCCGTTTAACTTATTATCAATCTTAATTGTAAGAGTTTTTGTGAAAAGAGTTGCTGGTCTTTTCCTTTAGATTTATTTGTTTTCTATGGTTTTCAACTGGCCAATTGATTTGGCCTTGAACTATATTTATTCAAGCACCGCTGGTGAGTATGTAGCAGAATAAATGCGCATCATGCATAGAATATTTGAGGTCTAGCGTCTTTGATAAGTTTTAATAAGGGTTTCCTTGCTTAACCTTAGCTTTCAAAGTATATGACGTCAGACTGTTTGTCATCGGAAAATGGTTATATTTATCAAATCTTTGTCAGCCTTTCTGTACTTTTATCTTCTATCAAGTCATATGTGTCTGTAGTTTGGTTTAGGTTAATGCTTGCCTAAAGACTTAAGCATATTGTTCTTATGGAAATATTTGAAAATCAAATAGAACACCCAAAAGAAATATGGACAATAACAGTTACATAAACATGCAACTTTATTAAGTCTTTTTATACAAAAAAAACTTAAACTGAAGTCGTTTATTTGCAATAAAATGCTCTATGGTATAAATCTTTATTTTAACTTACTGCAACAAGAACTTTCCAGTTTAGTTTTTTATTGGATTTGAAGCAGATTCTAAAAAATGTCGACATAAAAGTGAAACAATATGGCGCGATTATAACCAAAAACAGTGCCCATATCCATGATTCGTCAACTGCAGTAGAATTCCTTTTACTCGTGCACGATGTTTTATTCATGCATATGGAACAGTTTGGCTCAAGAAGACCTCCAAGACTATTTATAACTGAGATTGAAGTTTCTATCGGTGGATTGATGTGCCATATAAGGATATGCAATGTTATTCGTCCAATAAATCCACTTCCAAAAGCAATGATAAAAAGGAATATTGCAAAGGCAATTTTTAAAATCTTTTCTGGCTTTGGTTTCAGTTTGATATCATATTCTTTTGAACCTTCTTCGTGTTCTTCATTTTCTTTGATTTCATCATTTCTGTGAAAATAAAACATATGACCTTGGATGACTAAATTAAAGATTTAAAACTTAAAGGGGCGATGGATACCAAATGGACATTCAAACTCATTAGTCAAAAATAAACTGACAACGCAATGGCTAAAAATAAAAAGACAAACAGACCAACAACAAATAACAGAACAACATAGAAACCAAAAGACTGAGTAACACGAACCCCACCAAAACATGGGGATGATTTTATGTGCTCTTGAAGGTCTTGTTATTTTGGGATGTTGGGCAATCGAAACAAAAGTTACAATAAAATCCTTCTGCATATGCAAATTTTAAATCACACTTTTAACTAGTTTCTTTATTTGGTTAACATATGTTTTTCCTTCGTATTTTCTTTTTCTTGTATATGTCATTTGATTGCATGATTAAAGTCAAGTCAAAACGAGTTAAATAGCTCGCTTAAGCTATCATAAGGATTACAAGTTAAATGTTGTTAAATGTAATATATGCTTTTTTGTACTTCTTTGTTACATATTTGTTCGTTTTTGTTGTGATTAGGATTGTGACACGGTGTTGAATGCTGTACACCTATTTTACATTTTTACCTATTATGTCTTTTTGTTTTATTCACGCATCGTTGTCAATATAATGAAATTTAATGCGACTGTCATTCAAGTGAGAGGTTTAGCGCTATAAAACCAGGTTCAATCCACCATTTTCTACATAAGAAAATGCCTGAACCAAGTCAGGAATAAGACAGTTGTTGTCCATTCGTTTGATGTGTTTTGATTTTGCCATTTGTTTAGGGACTTTCCGTTTTGGATTTTCCTTGGAGTTCAGTATTTTTGTGATTTAATTTTTCATGCACTACTTTATATTAATGACAAAACAGACGTACAATGTTATAGTACAATTATCATTTGTTTTTCGTTATCATGTCATGCATGTACATGTTAACAGTAACAATATCATGCTTAAATACATTTAAATGTATTAAAACTTACTCCGTTTGATACTGTTCTATAACCCCCGGGTTGACTATTCGTGAAGTCGTTTTACTTCCTTCCGGGTTTTCTGCCATTCTTTACACAAGAACAGAATCGTATTAAAACTGAAAAAAGTGTATCAGTGGTAAACAGATTAAAAATTGTTCTTATAACAACACAAACATAATTCACAAATACAACACAATATGGCATACATTTGGACAACCTGAAGATCATTTCTCTTTTTTTAACATATGTCGAACATATTTGTTCATACTTTTCGAATCCAAAATGAAAGCCCTTTTTAATTACTTTATCATATTTATATGGGATTACAAAGATGTGAAGCTTTTCGGTGGTGATAAAATAATCAATAGATAAGACTGTTTAAAGTTTAAACAAAGAGACCTCCAAAATATTATGAATATTCTCATAGATTTTAGATCCAAAAGATAACATATTCTTTTATCACGAAAACGTGAGAATAGGATTCTACTATGACGATATTGCTGCATTTCTAGAAACGTCATCAATCTCAAACTGCCAGTTTTAGATTTGTATTAAGGATGTTCGCTCCTCTTGTTTTTGAATTTTGGTCAGATATTCTGATTCCTCTGGTTTTATCCATGTAGTTCTAATAATTCGCCCGCTAACCCCTATTTTTCTTTTCATAATTTTATTAAATATAGGTTTAAAAGCTATATTTCAAAATCTTATAAATCCTTGTAATTTTTTCATAGTTTTTGAAAGAAAAAAGGCGCCAAGTTTAATGTATGAAAAATCTAGAGCAAATCATTTCCGACAAACGTGTCAATGGCTTATATCTCGAAAACAAGCACACAGACCAATAAATTTTTTCTGCTTTTTTGGTTCCTTTATTCATATATTTTCAATTTATAACAGTCGTTTAAAAAGCTTGTTGTTTTGTAACAGAGAAGCGAACATCCTTAACTTAACTCTAAAGAAACAAAAGAGGTAAGCTTTAATGTAATGCTAAACTTTCAGAAAAAAAAATTGTTAAGGTCAAATAAGGTCCTTATCCCATCTGTCCTTTTACAAAGAATCAATACAACAGATATATTCAAATATCAATTTCAAGTGGATGACAGTTCACTCTGCCTGGGGGCTGGATAAATGTGTATATCAATTATTGAAGATCTTTTAATTTATACGGTAATAGTTAATATCGATTATAAGAGGTAAATAAATGAGAATCATTTTTTTTAGTTTAGTCATCAACCTTATTTTGTGCGAATTGTGGGAGAGGGATAATATTCAAATTTATGTCAATATTCCTAATGATTATCAAAGTGAGGAGCAAATTTATTATTGTAAACAGACATTTTTCTGTCATTATATTTTGATAATTGCTATGTTAATCGATTAAAAGAGATGACTATGTGTACTGTTGAAATATTTATCTACTTGCCAAAAGATTTATAGTTTGTGAAATTGGAATTTTCCGGTCACAATAGATAGAAGAAAATTTGTATTTTCGGGAATAATTGATTTTGTAATTCAATCAAATTCTGAATGCAACTCAATCAAACAGAGAATATGCACTTGGTTGAATATTAAATTCATGATTTAAACATATTTATATATATATACATTTTAAACAGGACATCCATAAAAATTTGTAATTCACGAAAAACAATAAATCCTCATTATGTGAATCAGTTCATTTTTTCAAATCTAGTTCATTCATGTTTCAGAGTTTAGTGTGACGTCCATTTTCGCTAAACTAGTACACATTTTTGTTTAGAGGCCCACGGAAACCCGCCTATGTGTGCAGGATTTCCTCGCTGTGTTGAAGACCCATTGATGGCATTTGGCTGTTTTCTGCTCT